AATCACCAGAAATTCCTCCTATAGAATGTCCAATAGAATTAAGAAAAACCTAGCATATTAAATATTGGCATCTTTGTTTCAGATGAGTAGCATACTTTCATTCTAATTTAAATCACCAAGAAACAAAATGTATATTCTGCTATAATTCAACTTTAAAAATTAAATTCTTAGTTTTCTCCCCCAAATAGTTAAGATGTTCTGTGGAAGTCTACAGATTTACACTACTCTTATGTAGTGTAAAACATAAACAGAAAGCCCAAAACAGAAAGCCTACTAAGAGGCCCCAGTACTTCTGTTCCATAGAATAACATTCTGGGAAAGACTTTCATATTAAAAAAGATGGAAGATAAAAAGAATAAGGTTTTCATGATCATAAATACAACATCATCTTACCATGCACACTTCCAATGCAAGCAGTGCTAATTTCAGCAGACTTGAGAGCTTCCCGCTCCAACTGCCCTGCTGGGATGCCACTTGTAGACTCTTCCTGTAACACATCTCTGCAGCACCCATCATTCCTTGGGACTGATAGACCTGTGCCAGCCACTAATGAACAGAAAGGGAGAAGGATTGCAGAGGATTTTAGTTTAGTTCCCAAAAAATTCAGTAAACTTTGATGAAGTTGAATTTTTATTTGATTAATGGCAAACTTGGTTTATATCATGTTTTAGAACACTACAATCAATAACTGCAGAATACAAATTCATTGCATATGCACAAGCAACATTTACCAAATCTGACCATTTATTGGATCATAAAACAAATCTCAACAAATTTCAAAGGAATGAAATCATACAAAGTGTATTCTGATTAAGTAGAATTATATTTGAAACTGGTAGAGAGAAAAACATCTAGTCTGTGCAAGATGGCTCATACCTAGCTACTCAGGAGACAGAGAATTGGAGGATCACAGTTTAAGGCCAGCCAAGGCAAAAAGTTAATAAGACCCCCCCCTCCACCTCAACAAGTTATTTGGGCATGGTGGTTCACAGCTGTAATCCCAGCTACACAAGACATGTAGGTAGGATGGTGGTATGAGACTGGGTCAGGCAAAAACACAAGAGTCAATGCGAAAAACAAGTAAAGCAAAAGGGGCTTAGGTGTGGCTCAAGTGGTAGACCACTTGCTTTACGTGAATTCAAAATTTAGTATTGCCAAAAAAACCCTAGAAAATCTCCCATATTAGAAATTTGCAACATGCTTCATATACGAAACAAGTCAAAGAAATCCCAATAGAAATTAGAAAATATTTTGAAATGATTATGGGGAGCTTATACTAGAATAATAGAAAATTCTCTCTCAGGAGGCTGGAGGAGCTGGAGAAGAAGTGGTTAACAAATTAAATACAAAGAAACCAAAGCAAAGGAAAAAAGAGATAAGTAACTAGCAATGTAGAGAAAGCATAATAAAGAAAATCAACAGGAAACTGTTTTTTTAAAAGAATAATAAAATAGCTAAAATTACCAAGAAAAAAATGAGAAAATATAAACTACTAATATAATAGTGAGAAAGGGAAAATCATTACATATCTTATAAACATTGAAATCTGAATTTGAAATTGAGATGCACTGGAAGAATTCTTTGCAAATCTCCAATGCTAAAGAAACATGAAATCTTAATAGGCCTATATATATTAAAGGAATCTAGTCTATAATTAAAGCATTTACATAAACAAAACTCCCAGCCATTTTGGATTAAATGGCGAGCCCTTCCAAATAGCTGAGAAATAAATGATGCACTCTTATATAAACTCTTTCAGAAAAAAAGAAGAAAGAAGAACACAGATACTAACATTTAACAAAGACTTTATAGGAATGAAAAATTATAAGCCAATTTATCTCATGACTATAGGTATAAAAATCTAAACAAGATACTGGCAAAACGACATTTAAAAATAATACATCATGACCACATGAGGCTTAACGAATGCAAAGTTGTCTTAACATTTGGAAACCAAGGTAATCTACCTCATTAACAGAATGAAAAATAGATGATTCTAATAAATGTCAAAAAGAATTTGATAAAATTCAAGATCCATTCATTATAAAAACAAACCTTTCAACAAATTCAGAATAGAGAGCTTCCATAATCAGATAAAAAAAATCAGTGGAAATTATACAGCAAACACCATACTTAATCTAAAACCGTTCCAAATAATTAATAAATTTGCTAGAAATTCACTATATAAAAATTAGCTGCATTTCTAAGTGTTTGGAGACAATATATCACAAAAAGAGGGAAAAGAAAAAGAAAAACTTAAAATGAACCCCCAAGTGCCAAAGATCTAGAAATAAATTTAATGTAAACAATCTTTAGATTACAAATCATAAAATACTGCTGAAAGAAATTAAAACTTAATTAAAGTGAGGAACAGATGACATTCATGGATAGAAAAATTCAGTAGTATTAAGTTTCAATTTTCCCCCAAATTAAACTCTAGATTTTATATAATCTCACATAAGATCTCAGCAGGGTTTTTGTATGTATATATAGAAATTAACAATTTATATGGAAATACAGAAGATCAAAATGACCAAGACAAACTTGAAGGTGAGCAAAAGAGTTGGACTTGATAATGTTAGTGCACATCGAGTATGAGGTGATAAGCAAGAATGAACAAACAGATCAACGGAAATAAGTAGGAAGTCCTAAAGACTCACACACAGTGGGCTGATTCATGAAGCAACACCGCAATTCAGTGGGGACTGACAGTCTTTTTAAATAACAGTACTTGGTCAGTTTGATATCCATCAGGAAAAAAATGAATCCTGACTGTGGACACATTCACAAAGTAAATCGAGGATGAACTGCAGACCTAAATGTGAAATGTAAAGCAATAAAAACTCTAAAACAAAACATTTAAAATTTTCATGAAAACGGGTAACCAAATATTTCCTAAACAGAACACCTCAATAAGGCATTCCCATTTAAAATTATATAGGAATAGGTAGAAAAACCAAAACACATATAAAATTATATAGGAATAGGTAGAAAAACCAAAACACTATATAAAATTATATAGGAATAGGTAGAAAAACCAAAACACGAATAGGTAGAAAAACCAAAACACTAAAACATTAGTTCCTCCCCACTGCAGAGGAACTAATACAGAAACCCTAAAATGACAGCGGTTATCATGAGCAGGGGATCAGGAACCAATGTAAAGGTGAGTTAGAGCTGAATCAACATGGGTCGTAACACATGGGTACATGAAAGCAATAGTAGGAATCTCTCTGAATAGGAATTTCTCTGAATAGCTATCCTTAACTCAACTAGCAAAAACGCTTTGTCTTCCTTATTATGCTTATGTCTTCTCTTCAACAAAATTAGAGATAAGGGAAGAACAGGACCTGCCTGGAAATGAAGTGGGAGGTGGGGGAAGGGTGGGGGAGGGGGGCAGGGTGGAGAAATGACCCAAACAATGTATGCACATGTGAATAAATGAACAAAAAAAATTAAATAAATAAACATGATAAAACCATACCACTGAAATGAAGAAATCTTCATAAAAAATAACCTTGAGAGAATGGTAAGGCAAGTCATAAACAGAATATTTGGGCAATACAAATATCTAAAAATGTGCTTGTATACAGAAAATATGAATTCCTATAATTTATCATAAATAATTCATTTATGCCATGAATCAGATAAAATGAAAAGCCTACTAAAAGTTATACAAAGGTACTTCAAACAGAATATTTAAAGGATCAATGCATATGAGAAATTGCTCAACATCATTAGCTATCAGATAAATATAAGTTGAAACCATCAAAATACACTATTACTAGCCAGGCACAGGAGGCTGATGCCTGTAATCCAGCTGTTTGAGAGCTGAGATATGATCTCAGTATGAGGCAAGTCCAGGCAAAAAGTTAGGGAGAACCCATATTAACCAAAAGCCAGGCACAGTAGCGCACACCTGTCATCCCAACCTATGCAGAAGGCTGAGGCAGGAATGATCATAATTTCAGACTAGCCCTGGTAAAAAAAATTCATGAAACTTCATCTCAACAAAAAGCTGGGCATGGTTATACCTGCTTGTCACTGCAGTAACAGGGGAATTATAAAAAAGGAAGATGGCCATCCAGAGCTGCTGGGGCACAGTGAAACCATACCTCCAAAAGAACCAGAGTAAAAAGGGCTAGAGTCAATAGAGCATCTGCCTACCAAGTAGAGAGCTCTGAGTTTAAACCTTGGTACCACCAAAAAAAGAAAATCCCCCCCAATACAAACAAACAAACAAAGCCCTATTATGTATGAATCCACCAAAACAGGAGAAAAACCAATACTCTAGCACTATCAGTAACTGGAGTGCTCCTACACTGCTGGCAAGGATGTACATGGCTACATACAACCAAACTTTTCAGCAAGATCCACTAAGAAACACATACATGTACACTACAGGCCACCAGACAGATGCCCAAGGACGGTCACAGCAACATTATTCAAATAACCCAAGCCTGGAGCAGCCCAAGTATCCATCAACAGTAAAAGGGTATATATTATAGTATATTTCTAAAATAAGATGAAAAATTATGGCCACATGAAACAACAAAATGAATCACACAGACATAATGTTGAGTGAAGTCACTTTTTAGAGGTTAGGGAATCAACTGAGGTGCATAAGGAGGTGGTAAGGTTGTGGGAAATGTTCTGTATTCTTGATATAGGCAACAGGTACACAAGTATACACACATAAAAATTCAATGAGTGGCATTTTTATCCTTTATGAATCATATAACATAAAAGAAAACACATAAATGTACACATATACAAACTCTTGAGAGTTTACTCACTATATAATTTACTCTTTTTGTCTGACAAGGGGATTTCCCCTTGATTAGGAATATGGTCACCAATATCTCGTATGCAAACTTAACTCTAAAAGAGGGAATACAATCACCATCCTTCTTCGAGGATTAGAATAAAGTGGAGGCTCAGTTTGTATAATCCAACCATTTTATGCCTTTAGATAATCTCTTTAATTTTATAAAGCATGAGTATCAAATAGATGACATAAAGAAAAGACTGAAGAATGAATTGCAGTAAAATCAACTTTTATGAAATCTGTACCAAAAAGTCTCTTTGACACTTTTTCTGGGGCACAGAAAGAAACATAACAAATTGAATAAAATGACTATGTGCTTCTTTGTACTTTACTATCAACAAGAATAAAAGGCATAGTAATCATTGTGTACTTACCATTGTGGATAACCAAGGTCAGCCAAAAGAGTAGATAACCTATTAATGTAAGCATCAATCTTACAAATTCTTACTTAAATATCTGTTAAAATCTTGGATGTGGGTTACTTGCAAAGAACATGCCTGTAAAGGCTGAGTTTATAAACACTTTGTGGTATCCCAATGACCTCAAACTAGTATTATGGAACATTTTACTTCAGGACTCATGTAAGAAAGGAGAGAACTTACCTGCCAAGCTGGAACAGAGGTTGAATTGGACATTACTGTTTTTTTCAGTTCTTCAAGTATAGCATCTGGCAGTGGCTTTTGTGACTCCAGGAGTGATTTACACTGAACTTGTCTCAAAAGTAAGATAACAGCTGGCTGATCAGGGTGATTTTTTAAATTCTAAAAATTAAATCCCAAATAGAAATACATCAAAAAGGCTCATAAATGATAAAAGTAAAAGGCAATTAAGCTATGCCTCACGTCAGGGAAAAATTTTTCCTAATTTAATCTTTTCTTTGTAGAGTAAGAAACTATAAAAGCTAAGCAAACAAAAGACTGAATAGCTTGGGAATATCAAACTCTACTTTTAAATAATCCTTAAAATGAGTAATGCTATTATTATGGTATCTAAGTCACTTATTCGTATTTATATAATATGCCCCTTTCTCAGGTGATATCCTGAAAAACACAGGTTCAAAATGTAAATAGCTGAACTAAGAAAACCTACAAAAGCGTGTGGTACCATTATGCTACTGGAACAAGCTATGCTATATATGAAGGAAAGGGGTAAAATTTCTTTTTCTTTCTCAACTTCTATCAAGGATTTCACTGCATGTGCATGTCTTTCTTCCAGGTACAGACTTATCCAACATTAGGAAAGAAATGTTTCCATTCCCCTAAATTATTATTTATACTCGAAAGCACATAGATGCATACATAAATGCACACATGTATATATGTATATATATTCCACATATGGAATATGTCTCTCTGGAATTAGGCTGTTTTTATTTGCCCACCTGATCATGTACATAGAAAAGGCTTAGAAAATACCAAAAATAGCTACTAGAACAAACAGTTGAGCTCAGCATGTTTTCAGGATGCAAGGTCAACACAACACATATAAATCAACAGTAACTATATCCAAGAACAAAAGATTAAACATTAAAATAATGGCCAATATTATGGAGTTGTAAGTTTAATAAAGTACGTGTAAATCCATATACTAACACATATAAAATACTGCTGAAATATTCAAATAATTGGAAACATAATACCAAATTCATGGATCAGAAGATTCAATGTTTTTGAGATGCCAATTCTTTCTAAATTCATTTTTTTGGCAGTACTGAGATTTGAACTCAGAGCCTCACACTTGCTAGGCATGTGCTCTACCCACTTGACCCACTCTGCCAGCCTCAAATTCATCTATTTTTTAATGGAAAATAGTGGTGTAATGTTTCCCAGAGTCAAATTTATATTTCCTCAATTAACATACAATATTTATACTTCTTTACAGGGTATAGTCTTCCAAGTAAGAAACTGGAACAATAAAGGGACAAGAGAGGGTTCACAAAGCATTCCTTATTCTATCAGAGAGCACGTGGCAACTGTTAATTTATGCTTAGTAAATACCCAGGATATAACAGCCTGTACTGAACTTATCTCAGATGGAACTGTTTATGTGAAAGAGACAATGTGTTTATTCTGTTTTACAGAGAACTCAGTGACCAAAGGGATCTTCAAAAGTCCATTTTTCTCACTGTAAAATGTATAATACTCTTTCTAAAAACAAAAAAAAATTTAAGAAGACAATGCAATGTCCGCAGTGAGCATTTATGAAACATAAAGTTTACAGGAAAAGCCGTATTTAAAACTCTTGTTAACTTTTAATTACTTCTGAGTAGTTTATGAAATGGATTCATTCACTTAATAAACATTCATTCAGTCACTACTATGTGCTAGGCAAGATACTAAGAATTTACTCACAGAGCCTACAACACAGATCTCCATAATCCTAGCATGTACAAACCAAGATAAAAAAATCTATTGAGTCCTAGAGTCAGACAAATTTTGCAACTCTATCCACTTCTAGCTAGCTGTAAACTCCTGTGCAAAATACTCACCCTTTTAAAACCTTATTTTTCTCAGTTGTAAAAATTGTGATAATAATAAATACCTACACCACAGGACTGTAGTGAAACTCAAATACACAATGCTAAATGCAGTGACTGACTTGTAGCAAGTAATCAGTGAATGTGGTTACAGTCATAATCATCACCACCACTACTACATACTCTTTAAAAAACACACACTCCATTTTTCTGGTTATTTTTAGGTAAGATAAAAATCCATGAATTTCAGTGCATAATTCTATTAACAATACCTTTGTGCATAGAGATTCAGCCTCAGCTATTCTTCCTGTGTCTATTAGACCAGTGACCGCTTGTGAAAAAGACCACTTTTCAAGACATTGGTTGTAATTTTCAAGAAATTTTTTGTCCTTAACTGTAAACAAAAAATGTCAATGTTACTTTCTTCTGCAACTTATAATATTGTAGTCTCAGGTGAATAACAAGTTGCTAAAAAGTATTAAAATTAGACTTATCATATATGTATTTTTTTCTTTTGAGACAGGGTCTTGCTATATAGCCCAGGCTGGCTTCAAACTTGTGATCTTTTGAAATTATAGGCATGTACTACCTGTCCAGATCCCGCATATATATATCTTAAAACTTTAACATACCAATAGAATACCATAGACTTGCTATCAGAAGGATTCTGAAAAATTTCATGGTAAAAGTATTTAAAGCTAAATAATGTTAGACCTCTTATACTTTAGGATCTACAACAAAACCCACTATCTATAGTAACAATGTATTCACTGAACATATTTCACAATTTATTGCAAAATAACTGAAAAGTAAAATAAACTGCATGTATTCAAGTTACACAATTTCAAGAGTTTTGACATGATTATACATCAGTAAATCATCATCACAATCAGGTAATAAACTCAGTCATCATTATCAAAAGTTCCCCCCAATCCTCTGTAATCACTTGTTTCCAACTCACTCAGTCACCCTCCCCCCCATCCCCAAGCAACTTCTAATTAGTAGGACAGTTTGTGCTTTCTATCATATCATACAAATGGAATCATACAGTATAATTTCTTTGGCATCTTTCACAGATGTTTATTTTAATATGGCAAATTCACTCATTTTTTAATGCCTAGGGCAAACCCCACTTGATCATGATGAATTATCATTTTTATGTACTGTTAGGTTTGAATTGATAAAGTTTTGCTATTAATTCCTCCATCTATCTTCATGAGTGATGGTGTTCTATAGTCTTCTTGTACCGTCTATTTGGTTTTGGTATTAGAGTAATGTTGGATTCACAGAAGATGTTAAAAAAATAGTTTCTGCAGGGTATCAAGGGGTGGGGGGGAGAGGGAGGGGGTGGAGTGGGTGGTAAGGGAGGGGGTGGGGGCAGGGGGGAGAAATTACCCAGGCATTGTATACACATATGAATAAAAAAAATTAAAATTAAAAAAAATTTAAAATAAAAAATAAATAAAAAGAAAAAAAAAGATGTTAAAAAGAGTTACCATCTCTAGATTTTCTGAAAGAATTTGTATAGAACTGGTATTATTTCTTTCTTAAATTCATCAGTGAAGCCATCTGGTCTTTCGGTTTCCTTTGTAAGAGTTTTAATTATCAATTCAATGTCTTTAACAGATATATAGCAGCTCAATTTACTTTTTCTTCAGCAAGCCTTGTGTCTTTTAAGGAACTTGTTCATTTTCTCTAAGTTGTCAAATTTCATGGCATAAACAGTTGCCTATAAGAATCATATTAATCAGTAAATAGCTGTAGTGATATACTTTCTTCCTGGTACTCTTCTTTTTACCTGATTCATCTGCCTAGAGGTTTATTATTTTATTCATCTTTTCAAAGAACCAGTTGGTTTCATAGATATTCTGTCTGATTTCATAGATTTCTTCTTTATCTTTGTTATTTCCTTTCTTTTGCTTACTTTGAATTTAATTTCCTTTTTATTTTTCTAGATATTCAAAGTAGAAGCTGAGGTTACTGATTTGAGGGAAACTTTTCTTTTTTTCTAATGTAGACATTTAAAGCTATAAATTTCCCTCTAAGCAGTGCTTTAAGAATATTGCATAATTTTGATATTGTGTTCCATTTTCATTCATTTAAAAATATTTTTAAATTTTCTTTTTTGACTTTTTCTTTGATCTGGGTTATTTAGAATTATGTTGATTTCCAAATATTTGAAACTTTTTCTGTTGGTCTTCTGTTGTTTATTTCTAATTAAGGTATACTTTATATAATCTGAATCATTTTAAATTTACTGAGACCTCTTTTTATAGTCCATAATACAATTTTTTTAACTTTTTAAAAATTTATTCATATGTGCATAAATTCTTTGGGCCATTCCTCCCCCCTGCCCCCTCCCTCTCCTCTGCACCCCCTCCCTCTTACTCCCACCCCCCTCTCTTCCAGGCAAAACCTGTTCTGCCCTCTTCTCCAATTTTGTAGAAGAGAAGACATAAACAATAGCAAGAAAGACATAGTGCTTTTGCTAGTTTGACATAGGATAGCTATACAGAGAGATTCCTAGTACTGCAATATTCAGTGTATACTGGAAGGATATTCTGCTGTTGTTAGGAGAAAGAGGTACTCTGTAAGTATCAACTTGGTCAACTTTGCTGACAGTGGTTTTCAAGACTTTATTCTGTCTTTACTGATTTTCTGTCCAATTGCTCTATCAATTATCAGCTAGTGCAGGACAATGTTCTCTGAGATAGGAAAAACAAGTAAGGTAAGCTCTACAACACCCATAGCTTACTGCTTCAAGAGTTATAGTTTGCAGTTCAGGGAAGGGGAACTCAAGGGGTGTCCAGAAAACTCCCTAAGTTGAAGAGATGAACTGAGAAAACCAGGAAGGTCAAGGCAGCTAGAGATCTAGGGCTGGTACCAGAGAGGTGAGAGCTATCTACAAAGGTTCCCCTCAATTCTATCAGTAAATGTGTAAGAAATCTATCTTAGGCTTGAAAGAACCTTATTCAAAAGGAGGAGGTGGAACAATTTTCAGAGTTTGAAGAGGACTAGGAACAGTTTGTGTATGGAACAGCCACTGTGGATAACATCTGTAATTTATAGAGCACAGGGTAAAATACTCAAAAGGAAAGTCCAGAAACATACTAAGCACAACTAGCCCTACACTAAAGGCTTCCATGTGGAAGAAAAGAAATACCCAACTCAAGCCTAATCTAACCAGCCCATTCCACTAAACAGAGTGGAGTGTACTGAGAAACACTGTGATGTTCACAGAGCAGAGAAACAGGTTTACTGAAAGACTCAGTCTCTCATAAAACTACAAAACATGCACCATGCCCCTCCTTACCATAACATTACCAAAAACAGTACTGGGGTTTGAACTCAGGACTTTGCACTTGCTAGTCAGGTACTCTACAGCTTTAGCCATGCCTCCATCCCTTTTTGCTCTGGTTATTTTGGAGACAGGATCTCATTTTTTGCCTCAGCCAGCTTAGACCATGATCCTCCTATTTTATGCTTCCTACCATAGCTGTGATGACAGGTGTGTGCCACCATGCCCAGATTTTACCCATTGAGATGGGGGTCTCACAAACTTTTTTTTGCCCAGGCTGGCCTGGAACCACAATCTCCTTATCTCAGCCTTCCAGGTAGCTGGGATGACAGGCATAAGCCACTACACCCAACTATAGGTTAAGATGGGTATCATGCCCCAGCTGGCCTCAAACCACAATCCTTCCAATCTCAGCCTCCCAAGTAGCTGGATTATAGGCCTAAGCCACTGGCACCTGAGTATAGCAATTAATTTTACATCATAACAAGGCTATAAAGAAAAAATTTCAAGTGCAAAAGACACAGGTTGAAGAGATACAGCAAGCATCAGAACCAGACTCACATAAGGTAGGGATACATGAATTATTAAATTAGGAAGCCCACAGTGTAAGAGCTACTGCTTTTAAGCCTCTCTTTGCTTAAATTTGGATAAAAGGGTCTTATTGGCACTTACTTACTTGTTATTTCCGCCCCAACATGGAACCAAAACAGAGTATATGGGGAAAGCTAATCCTGGTGATAAAGGACCAAAATGGCCAATCAAAAAAATCTTCAGAGGGGACTGCTCAGAGACAAGCAGTTTGGAGACAAGTGGGGGAGAGCTGTTGGCACCTGTACCAGACCTTTCAAAAAACAACCAAAGTTTACAGGTTTAAAGAAGGGGTTCTTATGCATGGATCACTATCTGGCATTAAAGCCCTTAAAGGCACCTCAGACAAAAGTGCCTCGTTTGTCTTGTTTTGTTTTGTGTGTTGTGTGTGTGTGGGGGGGGTACTGGGGCTTGAACTAAAGGACTATACCTTGAGCTACTCCCCCAGACCTTTTTTTGTGAAGGGTTTTTTTGAGATAGGATCTTGCTAACTATTTGCCTGGGCTGGCTTCAAACTGCAATCTTCCTGATCTCTGCCTCCTAAGTATCTAATATTATAGGCATGAGCCACCAGCACCCGGCATATTTACTCCCTTTTGTATTTTGCTTTATTATGGTGTTTTTAGTTTGGACTTAACAATGAATTTTTCCTGAACTCATATGGACCCCTCATTTAGACCATCATGAGGCAAGTTAGTTTTGCCCAAATGATTATGAGTTGTTGCTATGGTAATGCTACTTAGTACAGGAGTAACCTCAGGTTCAGACACTGGAGAATGTGCTATAGCCTAACACTTCCTTCTACATGTACATTAAAACCTATAAACAGTTTTGATAGTCATATTAAAGTGATCCTTCATAAGACTAAAAATAATAATAATAATAAATGCCTAGGTTATAGGACAGGTGTGGAAAAAAAGAAAGTCTTGGTTACCATCTCTGATCTGGTTCCTTCCTTTACTTGGCCTGTTGGTCACCATGTTCCTTCTATTGATTTTTGGCCCATGCATCCTTAATTTGTTTTTTTCAGAGTTGGAGGCAATCAAGCTCCAGAGATGAAGCCACATACACCAAAGACTTCCTCCTGGTACCAGACCCCTTGACAGACACATCTTGTCAATTCAGAGGAAGCCCTCCCTAACTGTCTAGGGGCCCCATTATCATCTCTTATCAGTCTAAGCCAGTCAGAGACACGAACACCCCTTTTCCTGACAGAAGTTAGGGTTACCTCTAGATGGGGGAATGTGAGGGGAGCAAATCACAGAGGTGAAAGTCTAAGAAACAAAAAAAATGCTAGAATCTAAAAACATTGCAACAGAAAAGAAGAAGGACTTAGATGGGCTTATTTGGACTAAACAACTGAGAAATGAATTTCTGAACTAGAGGGTATCTCAGTAGAAACCACCCAAACTGAAAAGCAAAGTAACAGAAAGGAATTTCTAGTAAGTGTGAGACAGTTATAAAAGGCATAAGTATATGTAATAAGAATTCCAGAAGGAGAAGATAAAGAGTAAGAATAGAAGATATTTAAAACAATGATGACTGAAAACGTCCCAAAGTTGTAAGATACAATCACAGATCCAGGAAGCTCAGAACATTAAGGATAAACGCCAAACTAAAATAACAACAAAACCAAAAAATAAAAATAAAAAACAAAGCAAAACTCCTGAAAGAAGCCACAGGTGTGGAAAATCTTATTTATGGAGAAACAAAGGTAAGAATTACAACTGACTTCTTTTCAAAACTACATAAGAAAATTAAGTAAAAGATTTAAAATTTTAAGACAGGAAAAAATACCAATCTAGAATTCTGTACCCTGCAGAATTATTCTTCAAATGTGAAAGAGAAAGATTTTCTCAAAAATTGGGATTTGTTGTCAGTAGACTTACCTTGCAAGAAAGGTTAAACAAAATTATTTAGAGAAAATAATAAAGAGCATTATTCAAACTCAGTTTATAAGTTTGTAAGTCAGACTAAGAAAAGAACAGCGTTGGAGAAGAAATAATTTAAAATTATTTAGTTAATAATTATATATATTTATATACATATATTCTATAATATATTACTATATATTACACATGTAATATATGTATATATAATTATATACATATAATTATAAAGTATATATATTATAATTAATGATATTAATTATAATATTATAACTAATAATTAAATTAATAATTATTTCTTCATTGACCTAACAGATAATAACTCAAAATAATGATAGCAACGTTAATTCATCATCCCAACTCACTTGAGCCAGGCCCCCCCAGCCCTACCCTAATCTATTTATGAAGCTAAATATTGATCAATTTTCAATGAAGAGATTTAATGATTTACAAAACAATGCTGATGAACCTGATTGGATTAACAGCTACTCTTGCCAGGATTTCCAAGAAGAATCACAGGTCAATTTTAGTGCTGGTTTCAGTAAAGAACTCCTTCCAGGTCACCTCATTCTCCAAATACTCGTCAAGCAAGACTCAAAGTAGGTAGGTAGGCATTTGCTACACAACAAATATTTCAACTAAAAGTATACATTAGAATTTTAAGTAATATGGAAAAGAAACATATATAGTATCCCATCTCATTTCTGCACAGCTATACAACTATGGATTCTTTAATTAATGCATTTTTCTAACAATGTATGTTGAAGCTGTTTGTGTTCTTGATTTATCATTTGAGTAACATGAATTAAATCACATATAAAAATGTTTTTGAAAACATACTTGAGGCAGAAACAGCAGATAATAGTGCCAAGTATAAATCCATCCTTTTTGGCTGAGTGTTGTTAACTACAGCCAGTTTAACATCAGCATGACATGCTGCCATCAGCCCAGCCCAGACAGCAGGGTCACCTGCATAAAAGAAATACAGTTAGAAGGCTTGTTAATATTGACATATTCCTGAAAAAGTATCAAAAATGAGAGTAAAAGTTTATAAGTAACACTCTCCCCTCCAAATAAAATCTAATTGTATCTCCAGAAAAATTCCACTTTCTTAAAGAAAAATTAAATTGGTTTCAGAAGATACACTGCTACATTTATCCTTCAAGATTTGCCTTTTTTTCCCAAGCATATCATAGGATGAGATTGTCCTATTAAGCTTCTCTTCCATGACTGGTTAGTTCTGTTGCTTAGAGTGCTGGGCTATTGTGGAAAGGGCATTCACTTTCAATAGACAACAAAGACAAGTCTTGAACAGCTACTCATCCTTATTACTCAGTTTCTGTCTTAAAGGCTCAGTTGTAGCATAAACAACATAATACAGTGTTTCAGTTCTTAAGAAAAGCATGAATCAATGGAAAAGCTCAAGGTTTTATCTATGTTCCTATAGAAAAGCATGAAAGTGAGTATCCAAAATGGCGACCAGGACACAGAGGCAGAGAGCATGAACTCCATGAATCAGGGACCTTGCTGAGACACTGGAGACACAGTTGGCTGAGGTAAAGCACAAGGGAGAGCTGAAACTTCAGCATACTTAACCCCTAGCCTGTGGAAGGCTTCTCCATGCCATGATACACTGAAAGAACAGGTGGGCTGTCACCTCCACGCTGCCACCACTGGCCAGCCAAGCCCCTGCCTGCCCACCAAGCTCCAAACGTGCCTGGGAGATCTTCAGCAGAGCAAACAGAATACTTTCCTGCTGGAGACACATTTGGCAAACAAACAAACAAACAAACAAAAAACCCAAAAGGAAGAAACAAAACTCCAAAACCCTGAACCTCCAGCCCATAAAAAGCTTCTCCATGCCACGTTACACTGAGAAAACAGGAGGGCTCCAGCACCGCCAGATGCCAACTCCAAACCTGCCTAGGAGACACAGACAAAAGGAACTGGATGCTAAAGGAGTAATACCAGAACTACTAAGACAGAAATTCTACTGTTCCTGAACCGGGGATATTTTTTTTCTTTTCTTTAAGTGTTTGTTTGTCTTGTTCGCTATTCCCTATTGATTTCTTTTGTTCTAAGTTTTTTTCTTTCTTTTTCATTTCTCTCTTTCTTTCTTCCTTTTGTTAGTTTTACTATTGTAAGTTAGCTAATACACATAAACCAGGGACAGAAACAGTACCAAGTGGAATGATGGGAAGATGAAAAAGGGAGGGAAACCATTTTCCCCCCAAAAAATAAATTAGTCCTGGATTCAGAGGGAAATGAAGAAAATGGATACCCAGATCCAGACTCCAAAAAAACAAAGATAAATTACACCAATGAACTCAATGAAGCCCACAAGAACACCCTAAAAGAAGAAATCCTGTAAGTAACCAATGAGAATTTCATAGAGATGTTACTAGACAAGGTCAACCAAAACATGCAGGAGGCACTAAAGAAATTCCAAGACAACAAAATAAAGAATATGAGAAAACACAAAAACAAATAAATGAACTCATGAGAGCCCTAAATAAACACCAAAGTGAAACAAACAACACCATAAATAGAGAGATAAATGAATTAAGGATGAAAATTGACAATATTAAAGAGGAAGTGACCCATGACATGGAAAACCTCAGAAAAAAGAATGAAACAGAAATACAAAACATAACGGAAGGCCACTCCAGCAGACTAGAACAAGCAGAAGACAGAATCTCAGAATTTGAAGATGAAATGGAAACTAAAGGAAAAACTGAAGAACTATTAGACAACTCAAGACCTGTGAAAGGAATAAGCAAGAACTTACTGACTCCATCAAAAGACCAAACTTGAGAATCATGGGCATTGAAGGAGAACAGGTGTAAGCAAAAGGAATTTGTAATATATTCAACAAAATAATAACAGAAAATTTCCCAAATCTAGAGAAAACTATGCCCATTCAGGTACAGGAAGCCTCCAAGACACCTAACAGACTTGACCAAAATAGAACTACCCCACGACATGTTATCACTAAAACAACAAGCACAGAGAATACAGAAAGAATATTGAAGGCTATAAGAGAGAAAAAACAAATAACATACAAAGGTAAACCCATGAAAATCACAGCAGATTTCTCAATGGAAACCTTAAAAACAAGAAGGGCATGGAGTGAGGTATTCTGGGCACTGAATGAAAATAACTTCAACCCTAGGATACTCTATCCAGCAAAACTATCATTCAAAATAGATGGAGCAATAAAAGTCTTCCATGATAAGCAAAAACTAAAACAATATATGACCATCAAGCCACCACTACAAAAGATTCTTCAAGGAATTCTGTACACAGAAAATGAACGCACACAAAACCATGAAAGAGCAGGCACTACAAAACCACAGGAGAAGAAAAGGCAAGAAAGTAGAGAGTAACAATGATTCAGCTGCACACAATCAAACCCTTAAACAACAAAGACAACTAACTGACAAAAATTACCACATACCTATCAATACTAACACTGAATGTTAATGGACTTAATTCCATCAAAAGACATAGCTTGGCAAACTGGGTTAAAAAGGAAGATCTAACAATCTGCTGCCTACAGGAGACCCATCTCATCGACAGAACCAAGCACTGGGTGAGGGTGAAAGGCTGGAAGAAGATCTACCAAGCCAATGGCCCCTGAAAACAGGCAGGGGTAGCAATACTTATCTCAGACAAAGCACACTTCAAACTTACATCAATCAAATGAGATAAAGAAGGACACTCCATACTAATAAAAGGGGAAATACACCAAAAGGAAATAACAACTATTGACCTATATACACCCAACATCAGTGCACCCAATTTCATCAAACACATTCTGAAGGACCTCACAGCACATACAGACTCTAACACAGTGGTAGTGGGAGACTTTAATACCCCTCTATCACCAATAGGTGATAGGTCATCCAAACAAAAAAAATCAATAAAGAAATTCTAGAACTAAATCACACCATAGATCAAATGGACCTAGCTGATGTCTACAGAATATTTCATCCAACTTCTGCACAATATACATTCTTCTCAGAAGTTCACGGAACCTTCTCCAAATTAATCATATCTTAGGGCACAAAGCAAGCCTCAGCAAATATAAGAAAACAAATAATCCCACGCATTCTGTCTGATCACAATGCATTAAAACTATAAATCAACAAGAAAACAACAGTAAAAAACATGTGAACAATTGGAAACTGAACAACACATTGCTCAATGATCAATGGGTCACTGATGAAATAAAAGAGGAAATTAAAAAGGTTCCTAGAAGTTAATGAAAATGAAAACATGACCTACCAGAAACTAAGGGACACAGCAAAGGCAGTCCTATGAGGAAAGTTTATAGCCATGACTGCATATATTAAAAAGTCAAAAAGATATCAAATCAATGACCTAATGCTACATCTCAAACTCCCAGAAAAACAAAAACAAGCAAATCCCAAAACAAGCAGAAGGAGAGAAATAATAAAAGCAAGGACTGAAATCAATGAAATAGAAACAAAAAGAACCATTATAAGAATCAATGAAACAAAAAGCTGGTTCTTTGAAAAAATAAATAAGATTGACAGACCCCTGGCAAATCTGACTAAAATGAAGAGAGAAAAAAATCCAAATCAGTAAACTCAGAAATGCAAAAGGGAAGATAACAAACACCACAGAAATCCAGGAAATCATCAGAGACTACTTTGAGAACCTATATTGTAATAAATCTGAAAATCTTAAAGAAATAGACAGATTTCTAGATACTTATGACCATCCAAAACTGAACCAAGAGGATATTAATCACCTGAATAGATCTGTAACACAAAATGAAATAGAAGCAGCAATCAAGAGTCTCCCCAAAAAGAAAAGTCCAGGACCTGATGGATTCTCTGCTGAACTCTATCAGACCTTTAAAGAAGAACTAATACCAACCCTGCTTTAACTGTTCCAAGAAATAGAAAGGGAAGGAACACTGCATAACTCCTTTTACGAAGCCAATATTACTCTCATCCCAAAACCAGAAAAAGACACCTCTAAAAAGGAGAACGATAGACCAATTTCCTTAATGAACACTGATGCAAAAATCCTCAATAAAATAAGGGCAAACCGAATCCAATGACACATCAGAAAGCTCATCCACCAGGACCAAGTCGGCTTCATTCCAGGGATGCAGGGGTGGTTCAACACATGCAAATCTATAAATGTAATACACCACATTAATAGAAGCAAAGACAAAAACCACTTCATATCAATAGATGCAGAAAAAGATCAAGGAACACTACAGAAGATGGAAAGAATCTCCCATGCTCATGGATTGGTAGAATCAACATAGTAAAAATGGTTATACTACCAAAAGCAATCTACATGTTTAATGCAATTTCCATCAAAATCCCAATGACTTTCAACACAGAGATTGAAAACTCTACCCTAAAGTTCATTTGCAAACACAAGAGACCGTGAATAGCCAAGGCAATACTCAGCAAAAAGAGCAATGCTGAAGGTACCACAATACCCTACTTCAACTATATTACAAAGCAATAGCAATAAAAACAGCATGGTACTGACACAAAAATAGACATGAAGACCAGTGGAACACAATAGAGGACCCAGATATGAATGCACACAGCTATGCCCACTTTATTTTTGACAAAGGTGCCAAAAGTATATGATGGACAAAAAGACAGTCTCTTCAACAAATGTTGCTGGGAAAAGTGGTTATCTATCTGCAGAAAACTGAAATTGGATCCACGTTTATCACCCTATACTAGTACCAACTCAAAATGGATCAAGGACCTTACTATCAGACCCAAAACTCTTAAGTTAGTACAGGAAGGAGCAGGAAACACTCTGGAAGTAATAGGTATAAGCAAGGACTTCCTCAATAGAACCCTAGCAGCTCAGCAACTAAGAGAAAGAATGGACAAATGGGACTTCATAAAATTAAAATGCTTCTGCACAACAAAAGAAATGGTCTCTAAACAGAAGAGACCACCCACAGAGTGGGAGAAAATATTTGCCAGCTATACTAGACAAAGGACTGATAACCAGAATACATAGGGAACTTAAGAAACTAAACACTCCCAAAATCAATGAACCAATAAAGAAATGGGCAACTGAACTCAACAGAACTTTCTCAAAAGAAGAAATTCAAATGGCCAAAAAACACATGAAAAAATGCTCACCATCTCTAGCCATAAAGGAAATGCAAATCAAAACCACACTAAGATTCCACTTCACCCCTGTTAGAATAGCCATCATCAAAAACACCACCAACAACAGGTGTTGGCAAGGATGTGGGGAAAAAGGAACCCTCATACACTGCTGGTGGGAATGCAAGCTGGTGCAACCACTCTGGAATAAAATTTGGAGGCTTCTTAAAAATCTAAACATAGAGCTGCCATATGATCCAGCAATCCCACTCCTGAGGATATACCCAAAGGAATGCAACACAGGTTACTTCAAAGGCACCTGCACACCTATGTTTACTGCAGCACTATTCACAATAGCCAAGTTACAGAAACAACCAAGATGCTCCACTACTGACGAATGGATCAAGAAAATATGGTATTTATAGACAATGGAATTTTACTCAGCCATGAAGAAGAATGAAGTCTTATCATTTGCAAGTAAATGGATGGAAATGGAGAGCATCATTCTGAGTGATGTTAGACAGGCTGAGAAGACCAAAAATCATCCATTCTCCCTCATATGCAGACTTTAGATCTAGGGCAAATACAGCAATGATGTTGGACTTGGGTCACATGACAAGGGGAGAGCACATACAGGAGGTATGGGGATAGGTAGAAAACCCAAAACATGAAAGTGTTTGATGTCCCCACTCCAGAGGAACTAATACAGAAACCTTAAAGCGACAGAGATCAACACGAGAAGGGGATCAGGAACCAGTGTAAAGATCAGTTAGAGATGAATCAACTTGGGTTGTAACATATTTGTACATGGAAGCAAATGCTAGGAATCTCTCTGTATAGCTACCCTTAACTCAACTAGCAAAAACGCTTTGCCTTTCTTATTATGCTTATGTCTTCTCTTCAACAAAATTAGAGATATGGGCAGAACAGGTTCTGCCTGGAAGCAAGGGTAGGTGGGGGGAAGATGGTGTGGGGGGGCAGGGGGGCGAAATGACCCAAACAATGTATACACATGTGAATAAATGAATTAAAAAAAAGAGAAAAGCATGAAAGTCACTTCAACATTCCAAGTGAAGTGCTGCATGTGCTATAATGCATCCACTCATCCATTTAATTTTTCCTTCCCTTCACACCTGGACAGCAGCTTCAAGTGAGGGAGGAAACCTGACAGCACTGGTTGAAGAGGTACTAATGAAAGAGTTTAGGTGTATAAATTCTTTTTTTAGAAAGTCAGTTGTAAGAAGAAGCTGGAAGAGAATTTGGAAGTTTGAGGGTTTTTGTTTTTTTTTTAAGTTTGCCTTTTATCAATATAAATCTTATCTTGTAGTTTACTTCAACAGTTAATACTTTAGTCTTACTACCACTAAAAAACAAATGACTTTAAAATACAAGAGAGACTCTTTAATAACAGTCATTTAACAATAATTTTTAGCCTCTGTATATTTTTCTACCTAACTGGCATATCCAAATTAAGACTCCTATCAAGTACTTCCTACACGAGAATGAATACAGAATTTTTAAACCTGTTGAAATCACCATAAGAAGGGAATTAAGGTAAAAGGAGAGGAGACAAACCAATTCAGGTAATAATACATATATACATGGAAATGCCACAATGAAAACACCCTGTATGAACATGTTTTTTTTTTTTTTTTTTTTTTTTACAAAACAGAAAATAGGAAGGCAAAACAGATCGTGTCTTTTGGGGGGGGAGGGGGTTGTACCAGTGACGAGGGAGGACATAAGGAAAGGGTGCAATAGGGTGACTATGGCAGAAAATACTATGCATACATGTATGTAAATGGAAAAATGAAACCTGTTGAAACTATTCCAGGAATAGGAGAAGGAGGAATAAAGGAGAATGATGGAAGGGGTGAATTCAACTATGATATATTGTAAGAACTTTTATAAATGTCACAGTGTACCCCCAGCATACAATAATAAAAAAAAAAGCTAAAAAAAGAAAGATTCCTATCAAATGTCTGAAATACACATGTATTTCACTTATAGATGATAAGTATTACTGCTAATGGTACAGGCATCCTTAAAAATAACTATGCAGATCAAAAACTTTTACAAAAAATTAAACACATACTTCTATACTATGAAATGATTTCTGTCCCAGATAATGACTAACTTAAGTAACATATGACAATTAAACCCTAGAATAAACAAATGAGGAACATCCCTTAGAACTCATAGCAAGATCTAACTATTGTACTATGAAAGGAACATGACTGAGTCTTAGATCTGGGCTTTAGGGCTAGTGACATAACTGATTAACAGTGTGACAGCTTTTCCTTTGGGAATCACTTTTCTATAAAACAAAGAAACTGAAATAGATGATGACTAAGGTGCTGTGAGGTCTAAAATTCTATGATAACAACTGACATAGACACAATTTCTGAATACTGACTTACTCCAAAGATTGAGTGAACAAACTCTGTAGAGATTCTACATTATTCTACAGTTTAGATTTCTGGTGGACAGGGGGCAATTAGCTGGCACAATTTCTTCTCTGTTACAATGCAAAAGAGCTGCTGTGTCCATGAACTCTTCCACAAGATAATCAGCAAACCAAATTCCCTATGAAATAAAGTGAGTCTAGGATAATAAAGTACAAACATAAAAAATTTTTAAATAATCTGCTAAAAATTAAAAATACCTCTTAGTATCACAGAAATGAAAATCTACCATAAATTGGATTTTCTTCCATTCAATTATAAACTCTTGGGATTACCTTTAAATTCCTGTAAAGATTCCTTAGATTAATACCTGTACTTTGCTCAAGTAAAGAGCTTCAAGAATTAGGTATACAGCTGCTACTTTTAACTATAAATATATTCACTTTTAATGGTCTCCAAGGAAAAGCCTCGAGTTACTCATCTTTCCTACCAGATCCCTGTTTTAAGCATCATATGATGACTGCTTCCTTGAGTATGTATTTCTCCAGATAATATAGGCAAAATTGGGGATTGCTAGAAAGGGCTTAATTTGGGCACCCTCCGCTTCCTAAACTTTATGCCACTTGTACAATCAAAGGCTAATAGGTCTTCTATCATTATGGATATCTACTAAGAATTCCTGAGAGTAAGTCTCTCTAATATTTATTTAAGAACACCTGTAAAAATCAGAAATTTACCAATATATATCAAATTTAAATGTTTAGGTCTGTTTATGCCAAACAGACCTGATTATGCCAAAATGAAAAGAGTAAGCAAGAGGATATTAATCTATTTACTTGTTTTATAAAATAATCCCTGAAATATTAAATATTTAGTTAAATATTAAATATTTAACTGTTTAGTTAGGATCTTTACAATTTGTGACAATAACATTGAACTTGCTCTCTGTACAATTGCTTCCCAACAGTGCCTAGCCAAACAATATCATTCTGAATGAATGAAGTATTCTGGGGAATAAATTGTTTGATACTATATTTCATATTTAAGATTGTATTATGTAAAAATTCACTTTGTAGCCCTATAGTGCTAGACATTTCAGCCCTCTAAGGCACTCTTCCAGTAGTGGTAATGGAAACATGCTGAAGCGGTGATACGCAACTCCTCATTACCTGTAATCAACAGCATACATATGACACAGCTACCTAGAACTAACAAGAGCTAGCTGAGGTGAGGTTATAACCCTGGCATTGCTAACGTTACTTATACAAGAAATATCCCTAGCCTTATTGTGTTAACTACACATAAAATAAATGAACATGAAAAGTAACTTAGTAGGTATAGGCAAACCTTATTAAATCAGACTGGTAGGAAATGGAAATAAAACTACTTCTTGAAAGTATATGATTCAGATGTTCACTATCAGAAAATAAAGCATCTATAAGAAGGCATTCCCTTTAGCCTGTTTCAATAATTATCTCTTAATTAGCAGCAGCCAAATGCAAATAATTATTCACCAAACCTTTCTTAAAAAGCCAACTTCTTAAAACTCCCTTTCATATTTCATGGTAATACAATGTTTGCTCCTATTAAGTCACACATTGAAGATTAACAGAATCTGAGTTAAAGAAATGGATTATATTATAGTCACCTGGGGAAAGCAAAGCTGCCTTCTGAATGGTCTTTAGTGCAATATTCTTTTCATCTTCTGCTGTACTGCCTCCCATCGCCAACTGATTTACTGCAGTGTACAACAATGCCTTCTATGTAAGAGAAAAAAGTGTCAACCAATTCTCTTCATTGCCTCATGTTTTATTTTAAACTGACTAAAAGAAGGACTACATTTGATATGATGTGATCCCTACAGGGATGAAGAAAAATAACTATTATTCATCAATATTATTCAACAAGTTAAGCATTTCCTTTTGCACTAGAGCAAACTAACCTTTCCATGATTTGAGTCCAGAATATGAGCCACATTTCCTGCTACAGCACCTCCCTAAAACAGAAATACTATTTAGGCAAATCCAAAAACTTTCAGGAAGTAGTAGACAGTAACTTTCTATTCAACAATTTGAAAAGTTCAGTGTTATCACTTTCACAATTTCTAAACCCTGCAAGTAGCAACTTATTATTAGTTTTAAATCATCACTGGGTGCCAGTGGCTCACGCATGTAATTCTAACTACTCAGGAGGCAGAGATCAGGAGGATCACAGTTTGAAGCCAGCCCAGACAAATAGTTCCATGAAACCCTATCTTGAAAAAACAAACCACAAAAAGGTTGGCGGGGGGAGGCTGGAGAAGTGACTCAAGATGTAAGCCCTGAGTTCAAGCCCCAGTACTGCAAAAAAAGAAAGAGACTAGTGACCCAAACAAAAGTACACATTTTCTAACAATATAAAAAAAGATTGTGCAAGAAAGAAAGGCAGAGAGGGAAAGAGATCACAACGACAAAGGAATGATTGTTGTATCCTATGAAAATACATAGAATTTAAAAAACCTCTATAGTTCCAGTAAAATGAATAACTAAATTTCAAATGAAGCTTATCATTGCTTCAATAATCAACTCACCACTACAGAGCTTTCATAAGGTCAATTTGAAATCTATAGTTTTAAATTTTTAATTACTAGACATTTTACTTGAAAAAGAAAGTGAATTACAAGAATGATTTCATTTTATATCAGAACTATACCTTTAATTTCATATCAGAGGTACAGCAGATGTTTTCAAAACTGTACTCTGCACGAAAAGAATGCTAAAAAAAGTATAAACCTTAAAATGTTAATATAAAACAAATAAATGGTGGATTAAAAAGAAAGGCTCTAGGCACAGTGGCTCGTGCTTGTAATCCTAGCTAGCTGGGAGGTAGAGCTGAGGAGGACCACAGTTTGAGGCCAGTATGGGCAAACATTGGTGAGGCTCCCTTCTCAACCAATAAAAAGTTGGTGGCACTCACATGTCATCCCAGTTATGTAGGAAATATAAACAGGAGGCTCACTGTCCAGGGTGGCATAAATAAGAAACCCTATCCAAAAAGGAACTAAAGCAAAAAGGACTGGCAGTGTGGCTCAAGTAGTAGAGTTTCTGCTTGCCTACCAAGTGCAAAGCTGAGGATCAAAAAGAAACAATAAACAAATAAACAAAAAGGAAGAAGAAGAAGAAGAAAGAAAGGCAACCCTGCAGTGAGTAGAACAGAATTCAGGAGTTAGATCTGGAATTGAATCCTATCACTATTTCCAAGTGTGATTTTACAAAAGTTACTTGACCTCTGAGTCTCAAGTTTCCTTTTCTATGAAGTGGAGAATAATTAAAGCAATTTTTTACTGTCATTGAAATTAAATGACAAAATATATGCAAACGCTTAGCATCACAGCTAACATATAGTGAGTACTCCAATCAGTGTCTAACAATGATGGCCTTCCAGATTCTTTGAACCAATCCATTCATCTAAAATAACTAAAAATGTGGGACAAAACTTGCTACCCAAACTGTAGCCTGTGTATCAACAGCACTGACATTCCCTGGGAGATTAGAAACACAGAATATTGGGCTACACTACAGACCCACTGAATTAGCATCTGCATTTTAATAAGATTACTAGGTGACTTCAATTGCAAGTTAAAGTTTGAGAAGCACTAGGATAAAATATTTTAAAAACATATTCTTACTGGCATTGAATAACTGGTATTAACAAACTACAATATCAAAACTGAAATGGAAAATGAATCCAGAGATGCAAGTGAGCAGGGAAGTCATTTCTGTCCTTTGTAGCTCCTTACAAATTTTAATTTCCATCTTGAAAGACTCATGGGGTAGTGGAACAGAAATTAAAGCCCAGGGCTCACCCAAGGAAGGGAATGTGTAGGAAAACCCACAGAAGAATGAGCTGAGGCTCCAAGAGGCTAGACTCTCAGGTTCAGGGAAAATCAGAGTTAAGTCAGGTCTCAAATGACTATAACCCAGGCACAGAGTAGCCTGGTTAGTACAGGAACTTCAATTCTAAATTAGTGGAACCACTGAGCACCTGATGGGAGAAAGTACAAATTCTTTTGTGAAAAAAAGTACCTTGCCAGGCCTCAGTGTCTCACACCTATAGGCCTAGGTACTTGGCAAGCTGAGATGGGGAGGCTTCTGGTTCCAGGCCAGCACAGGCAAAAAAAAAAAAAAAAAAACAAATTGTGAGATGCCCCTCTTCATCTCAACAACAAAATCCTGGGCATGGTGGTATGTGCCTATCGTCCCAGCTACAGTGGGAAGTCTAAAATAGGAGGATCTGGTCCAGCCCAGCCTGAGCAAAAAGTAAGACCCTATCTCCAAAATAACCAGAGTAAAAAGGGCTGAAGGTGTGGCTCAAGTGGTAGAGTTCCTGCTACTCCCCACCAGCAAAAAAGAAAGGTATTTTAATAGTAGGCCTCAACTTAGTTCTATAAATAATTTTCAAGTATACATAATCAGGCAAAGAAAGAAATAAACCCCCAGGAATGAAAACCCATGGGAACAACAAACAGAAACAGATCGACAAAAACTTCAGATATTAGAACTATTACTAGATATGAGAAGTGTTGAAAACATATTAGCTATTACTATTATGTTTACCAACTAGTTAAGTGATCTATGAAAGGACATATTAGCCAGAGAAGTTAACAGAATATAGATACCTGAAAATACGTGGCTTTACTAAAGTTTACAATATATAATCCTTTATAGAATGTCAGTGACTTCATGTTATATTTTGGACACTAGCAGTGTTCATGTTCTTATTGTCTTATCTTTAAGAAGCTTTTAAGTAAAATTATATTTTGGAATTCAAAAGCACAAAGCTAATGCTTATTATGTTAGGAATGATACTTATTCACAAAGGCATTAACATAATGTGCATATTTCCAAAAAAGCCCGTCTACTTTTCTGTAGCTCCTACTTATTCACAATAGTACAACAGCACATAGAAGAAACTCAGACCAGTACTAGCGTAAATAATGGAAAATCTGGTCAAATGACAAAACTCCCTTCATTGTATTTATTATTTTTCTGAAAAATGTTATATTTAAAAATTACATTTATTACATTACAAGTTATTTTATCTTTTCGCTACAGTTTAGAGCATTACTTACCTTTGCATTTCGTTGAGCATACTGAGCAACAACTCGAGACAACAAAGACCAAAGAGCAGGGTCAGCTGGGTTACTAGAGAGATAATCAAAAGTAGTGGGCTTAGAGATGGACATTTTTATGTTTAAAACCTTTCAGAGCCAAGCACTGGTGGTCCATGCCTGTAATCGTAGTTATTGGGGAGGCTGAGATCAGGAGGACAGCAGTTCCAGGTCAGCCTAGGCAAATAGTTCATGAGACCCCATCTCAATCGAATGGGCATGGTGGTGTACACTTGTCATTCCATGCTGCACAAAGGCTGAAATGGGGAGGATCACAGTTCTAGACCAATCCACGCAAAAAAAAATTGCAAGATAACATCTCAACAGGAAAAAGCTGTGCATGGTGAAATATACCTGCCATCCCAGTGACAGTAGAAAGCTTAAAATAGGAGGATTGCAGTGCAAGCCAGCCTGGGCAAGAAGCAAGACCATATTTCCAAAATAGTCAGAGTAAAAAAGGTGTGGCTTAAGTGGCAGAATGCTTGACTTGCAAGTACAAAGCCCATAGAGTTCAAACCCCAACATTGTTAAATTAATTAATTAACTAGAATTATAACTACATATAAACGTTCAAAGCATATTAGCTATTACTATTATGTTTACCAACTAGTTAAGTGAACTATGAAAAGGCATATTAACCAGAGAAGTTAACAGAATACAGGCACCTGAAAATATCTGGCTGTTTGGAATATTGTTAATTAATAAAACCATTTGAACATTATTAATTAATTAATAAAACCTTTTAGACACCTAAGACAAGTTCATATTAATTGCTGTTGTTTGTCTGAAAGTGTCTTAAATTTTAGAAAACATACTTTGCATGTTCTATATACACTAGGCCTTCTCAGTGAAAATATGAAGGAAAAACCAGCAGTATGATAATTACCAAACTATGAGAAAAGTAAGAAAAGTTAAGGAAATGTAATACTCCGTTCAAGAAAACACAAACAGATTAAAAACTATAGGGTAAATTATATTATAGAGTAGGTAAATGTACTCTAATAGAAATGATACCATTAGGGATAAACTTCATATTAAAATAATTTAAGTTTTAAAAAATGTAACTAGTCAGCAAAGATTGTGAACAGAAACAAACTATGAAAGAAAAAGAAACTAAAGTCACAACGTGCTGAAAATAAAACAACTGTTTTCATGAGAGCTTTCGATTTTCCGAGTTTTGAAGGCATTAATGAATATTTAAATGACTAAAACTTCCTAAAACCATCAAACTAGTCTTAATCAGTTTGTTATCAATTAGGTAACAATTGAAAACAAGTTGGGAGCCTCCACTTGAGTAAAAGTCAAATTCATCAACTGAATTTTTTAAAACCATCCATATAGGTAAAATAATATGCAAAGTTAGTTTCTTGGTCCTATGTATAATTCTATAAAATCAGACTTTGATTTCCAAATATGTATGCTTACTGAGTTTTATAGTTTTAATAAAGTCCAAATGTCAAACACAACCACATCAAATTTACTTAGGCTTCAAGTTCAGGAATGCAGAGTTTACCTGTGAACAGCTTTCGATGCTTGTCTTTGCACTGCCATATTGCGGCCTTGGAGTGCACAAATTGCCAAAGAAAGAAGGCACCTCTGATAATCAATGTTATTGTGTTTAATGTGCTTCAGTAACTCTTTAAGAGCTGCTTTTGATAGCGTAGCATCCTGCATTGCCAACCCTAGAGCACACAGGGCTTGAAGGCTTTCTATAGTTGGTTCCTTTAAGATAGAGCTGCAAAAACATTTTTTAGTTGACTTATTAGCCATGAGTCTTTATAACTATTAAAAGATTTTATTTCATACAGAAAACAACTTACTTAAAGATTGACCAACTAAGCTACATCCTATGTATAATTCCATATAAACCCCAATGAAAACAAACATAAAATCAATATAAAGCAAATTTTTTAGTTTGTTAATAAAAGCAAATTTCTTGGCATTAAGAGATAGCAATTTTTCTGATGGAAGCAAAATATCAATGGCCTTTCATAAAGCAACAATATCCAAATTTCTTTTCTGGCCATAAGTTTTAGAAACAAATCAAAATCAGTCTCTGACTCTCAGTTCTAGGTAAATCATCAGAACAATTGGTAAAATGTTCCATTTTAATAAGATCCTATAAAATACAGTAAGCCCATCTTATTTGTGAACTTATTACATGTGTTTTTGATCAGGTGTGGTCAAAAAAAATAATAAATTTTAAAAATCAAAAGAAATTTCAAAATCAAAAGTGTGTAATTTCTGCACGCAAATTACACACAGCTCAGTTGATTCAGAGAAGTTGTCAGGTCCATGTTATCACTGGTTGTGTTTAAATCACAGTGTGAAATGCTGAGTGTTTTCCTGCTCTTAATTTTGTGAAAAATCTACCTTCTAGAAAGCAAGCAGCATTCAAAAAACAAAGTAAAGTTAATGTGCTTAACGTAAGCCATGAAATGAAAATTTTCTATTTGTTGAAAAGCATCATGTCTTAAGCAGACGCTGGGCTGTACTGATAAGGAAAATGAATCAAGATCTGCAGTGCAGCACTGAACTCTATGCATCCTGAGAGCATTTGCAGTTTTTCCTCAACAGTGGTCTCCTTGAACTATATACCCAAGTATACTAAGGGTCTGTGGTAGCAATTTCCTATCTCTGTAAGATGAGCCAAAACAACAGTCATGTAGGTGCACAGTGAAATATGGCATTGGAGGAAAGCACTGCAGTGACCAGGTGAAACCCAGAATTACTGGATTTCGGAATTTTAAGAGAAATAGCCCTAACATCTAGTGTTTGGTAGCCCTGTAGTGGCAGGGGAAGATCTCCCTCAGCAGGGTTACAGGTGAAAAGAAAAAGAGAAAGTCTTGGAGATCCCTACACCTTGCACTTACTTAGTCTAAACAGACAGCGCACCTGGGATCCACACAGTAAGGTGGCACTGAAAAAGTTCCCTTACACCTAACAGCAAATTCATCTGCTACCATAACTGGGAAGGGTCTTAAGAGTCCTATCGTTTGACCTTACTGTTTTTCTGGGTGGGGGCAGAAGCCCTGTATTTTTTTAATCTCTAAGACTCAACAGCCTCTTTTGTTCAGTGGATCAGTAGGCACCACCCAGAGATGGTATGGGCCCAAGCAAATGACTGTGAGTTTCACACAGTTTGCAGAGAGATCTATGTGATGGGTAGTTGCAGATGCTTCCATTTCTTTTTATTTTTTATGGCTACATTAGCATATAATAGGTGTACAGGGGACTATATTGTGATATTTACATATGTGCTTACGATATACCTTAGATTTACATCCATCGCTCTCCCTCTTCTCTCCTCCCCACTAATACCAACCTCAACTGGTTTCATACTTTTCTTTCATATATGGATAGAAAACACATTCACCATATACACCCTTATTCCCTCTTTTCTTGTGCCCACCCCTTCCCACTGGTACTCAACCCTGGATAAGATTTACTTTTTCTCCTGCCTTTCATTTTTTTTAATTAAATGTGTACTGATAGTCCAAGGGGGTTTTGCCTTGGTACTTCAGCTCTGTATATATCATGCTTTAATCAAATTAATCCCCCATTACTTACTCTTTATCTATCACCAAGCTGCCCTAATATTCAACACCTTACTGCTTGCTATAGAGGGCATTATATTATATTCACATATAGATGAGTTGTTTTAATATTTTTCATTCTATAACATTTTCTTTATCTTTCCTGCTTCCTGTAACCCCCTCAGACACATCCACTAATACAATTTTGTTCTATTTCTCACTATATAATGTGTATGTATTTATGTATATATGATCATATATACATTTAACTTATAGGTCTAGCTTCCACATATGAGCGAAAACATGCACAGGTGCTTCAATTTAAAACTGGCAGTTAAACCAGCTATGTGTGGATTCACATAAGGGCTGACAGATCTCTTGGTTCCTGCATCTCATTGAATAGCACAGACTTCATTGGTTCAGTGGCCAACTCCATGTTCAAAAGCACATAGAGGCTATGCTACTGCAGTCTGGACATTTGCCACACCCATGGGCAAGAGCACTGACAGTCTAGGAAGTGAGGGGGCAATCAGTCCATAGGCTCAGTCACTGAGGGGAGCTCATGGGTGGCTCAGACAGCAGTGGTGTGCTCAAGTGTGCACTTGAGCCCACTAATGAATACAGCCCTGCACTGGTAGGAAAGGCAGGGAGGGTAGGGGGCTCAGCCTCCACACTAATCTGCTTTGGCCTGTGTGACTGGAACTGAGAAGAAACACATCTGACTGCACCTGAGATCCTCTGCAGGCCCCCAAACTAGAAACAGTGGAAAGAAGAATCTCCATTTCAAACACCCCAGCAAGGAAGAATTTTTTACTTTTGTTTCCTTTTGTTTTCCATCAACATTTTTATACCTTTATTTAATTATACCTATTATAATTACATAACTGGACCTCTTCTCTCTTCTCACTTTTATTCCTTTATATTAAGTTTATTTTCATTACTATATAAACTCTCTTCTTTCTCATTTTTATTCCTTTCTTTACCTTAATTTTATTTTCATTAATGTATATTTTTTAGTCTATTCTATATATCTCTCCTCCTTTCTCCTCTACAGTTATTGATGGCAGTGCTATTTTTAGAGGGTTTTATTGTATGTTTATATCTGGTTTGCTTTTAAGTTGCTGATATTACTGTTGTCTTGTACTCTCAAAGCAGTGCTGGAGATAAAGCCCAACACTCTGAACACTATATGGTAGGTGTTTTGCTGCTGAGACACACCCTCATCCCAGTTGAGAGAAACTGTACCCTTGCTCTATCTTCAACATAGTCCTATGAAACTTGGGCAGATACCTCTACATAAATAAGCCCCGAGGTAACCAAGCCCCAAGTAGGCATAGACAGTAGGGGTCTGAAATCACAGGCCTGCTTAGCCACAACAGAAAGAAATAACCCAATTGCTGTTGCAGTCACTCTAACCATAAGGAACTCTAGCATAGGTCACTCCCATATTCTTTCAGATCACATAGTGCTGAAAGAAACTCTGGAGGAGTAACCACAGAAAGTATACCTCATATACTCTGCTATCTACAACATAACTGCCTGAACTACCTGAGATATCCTACTCACACAAGTCCTACAAAAAGAGAGTCACAGAGTCAAAACCCACCAACCATAGCCTAAGAAGCCCCAGAAAAACTACAATATGAATCCAATTGGAATTAAGCTCAACATTACAGAACAAACCAATATCCCAGGGCATATCATTGAGAGAAGGTTATCACATAAGAAGACCCTAATGGAGGGTCTTTTAATTGAAAAGCAGAATAGATAACAACCCCAATAGATGTGAATATCTCAACTTAGAAATACAAGAAATATGAAAAAAACCAAGGTAACATGACTCTTTCATAACTCTTTAGTAAACAATTCCAACAATATTAAACTTGATAAATCACTCATAAAGAACTCAAAAGAATGATTTTAAAAAGATAAATGAATTCCAACAGAACACAAAGAAATACTGAATGAAATAAGGCAGATAATGCAGGATATGGATGAGAAATTCAATAAAGAGACAAGAAATTTTTTTAAAAGAACCAAACAGAAATCTTGGAAATGAAAAGCTCAATCAGTCAAATAAAAAACTCGGTGGAAAGCCCAACCAATAGACTATATCAAGCAACAGAAAGGGTATTAAGGCATGAAGAGAAAATTGAGGGCCAAGCATGGTAGCATACACCTATAGTCCCAGCTACTCAGGAGGCAGAGATAGGAGAATCATGGTGCAAGGCTAGCCTGGCCAAAAGTGCAAGACCATGAGTTTAATCTCCACAATGCTCAAAAGGAAAAAAAAAGAAAAATAAATAATACTAAATTGAAGAATTAGTACATTCAGACAGTAATAAAGGAAAAAAAAACATAGAGAAAATATGACTAAAACATATAAGACCTTTAAGACACAATTAAGAGCCAAACTGATGAATCACAGGTTTAGACAAAGGAGCAGAGATATAGCCAAAAGGTATTAAAACCTATTTAGTGAAATACCAGCAGAAAATTTCCTAAATCTTAGGAAAGATATGGACATCCAGGTACAGGAGGCATTTAGAACACCAAATAGACATGACAGGAAAAAACTCTTTGGGTCAAATTATACTTAAATCACCAAGAGTACAAAGAAAGAATATTGAATGCTGCAAGACAGAGGCATCAAGTTACCTATAATTCATCAGAATAACAGATTTTTCAGCAGAAATTTTAAAGGGGAAGAGGGTATGCACTCTAAGCCCTGAAAGAAAATAACTGTCAACTTAGATTACTGCATCAGCAAAGATAGCCTTCAGAATTGAAGTGAAAATAAAGACCTTTCACGATAAGCATAAGCTAAAGGAACTTGTGACCACTAAGTCAGCATTGTAGAAAATATTCACAGGAATCCTACACATGAAAGAGGAAACAAGAGAAACATACTCAAGAGAGATCAGAAAAGAATAAATCTCACTAGAAGCGTAGACAAGCAAAAGAGTATCAGGAAATACTCAAATAATACTAACTCAGAAAACTATCAGATCTCTAACACAGAACAATAAAAAAAAACATAGGATACTCGAAACAACTAGAAGAAAAACAACAAAATGACAGGAATTAGTATTTATGTTTCAATAATAACCTTGAATGCAAGTGCTCTTAATTTTCCAATTAGAAGACACAGACTGAATGATTAGATGTCTAAATGGATCTGGCTGCCATGGGAGCTTCTGCCTATAAACCTAGCTATTTAAGAGGCAGAGATAGGAGGATCATGGTTTGAGGCCAGCTGGGGCAAAAAGTTAGTGAGACCCTTTCTCAAGAACAAGTCAGGCATGGTGGTACATGCCTACAATCCTAGCTATACAGGAGGCATTGGTAGGAGGATTACAATACAAGGGCAGCCCTGAAAAAACCCTATCTGAAAAAATAAAGCAGAAAGAGCTAGAAACATGGCTTAAATGATAGTAGCATGCTTACCTAGCAAGTGCAAGGCTCTGTGTTCAAGCCCCAACACTGCCAAAAAAATTGATTAATTTTTTAAAAAGATCCAACTTTTTGTTTTCTGCCAAGAAACACACCTCACTGGCAAAGACCAAGACAGACTGACAGTAAAAGAATGGAAAATGGTGTCCCAAGTAAATGGAATCTTAAAGCAATCAGTAGTACCTATATTAACATCAGAAAAAGACTTTAAGCCAAAAGTAGAAGAGACAAAAAAGGTAAGTACATATTGATAAAGGGAACAACACATCAAGAAGGTATTACAATTGCATGCATATTGGTGCATGCAATTTCATAAATACTACTGCACATAAAGACAGATAGGTCCAGACACAATAATGGTGGGTGACTTCAACACCTACTTTAACCACCAATAACTTAATCACCTAGATCAAAAAAAAAGAAAAAGGCAAAACACAGCAAGAAAACATCATCAGACTTAAACTATAGATTAAATAGACAATAGAAATCTACAGAATATTCCATTCAAGAGCTGTAGAATGTACATTCTTCTCAGTAGCTCGTGGAACTTTTTCAAAAGCAAATCATATTTGAAGCCATAAACTAAGTCTTAACAAATACAAAAAAAAAAAACTGAAGTAATTTCTTACAATTTATTATAGTGGGATGAAACTAGAAATCAATGGCAAGAGAAACTACAGAAAATACACAAATACATGGAGATTAAACAATACGCTTTTGAATAATCAGTGGGTCTTTGAGAAATCAAAGAAATTAGAAGATGACAAGAATCAAATGAAAATGGAAACTCAACTTACAAGAATCCATGTAATACAGTGAGGTAGTCCTGAAGGGGACATTTATAGCTATGAATGCTTACATTAAAAAAAAAAATCAGAGACTTCAAATAACCTAATGATACATCTTAAGGTCTTAGAAAAACAAGATCAAGCAAACTCCAAACCAGAAAAAGGGAAGAAATAATAAAGACTAGGTAACAGGGAACTTCCCATAGAAAGAAAGTCAAAGTAAAGAATGCCAAGGGACCAGTTGGTAGCGTTAAACTTGGATGATGACATACAGAAAATCAAAATCAAAGAAAGAAACAGATCATCCACCAATGTTCAAACTGATTTGGCTTACTCTCTTAAGTAGTAACCAGAGACTACTCCATGTCTAATTTGGGGTTACTTTTGCCCTCGATAACTACAGTAATCCTTACTTGGGTTCTCTGAACATGTTATATATAGCTATAGGTACAAGCTATAACAATATATCGATCTAAAGTGCTGAGATTTTCATTTTAAGTTTTTTTTTCTCAAAATGACAAAGGATAAAACTGGGTTTTTTTTTAATTATATAAGGAAACAACTTTAATGAGTCAGGATAAGACAAAAGTAGCACAAAAAATAAACACAGGTAAAACTTTATCCTACAGAAGTGGTTCTCAACTAGTACCATCTCATCATCTCTCTCCCTCTCCTGCAGGGAGTAATTATAGAGGCAATTTTTTAGTTGTCATAAAGGCTAATGAATGCTATTAGCCTTTAGTGGGTGGAGAGGAGCAGGAATTTAAGTTTCCTGCAATGAAGGGGGTCAGGGGGCACTTCTGTACTATGAGTATTTGTACACCACTCAATGCCAAAAAACGACTGTCCAGTAACATTTATCAATCATCTACTGCTCCTGAAGGAATTAAGGTCAACTTCCTTTAAAAAACAACAACAAAAAATTTCAAGAAGGCAAAAATATATACTAACAGATTTTACAGGTTATTATTTTACTGCCTTACTCCATAAACATAGAAATAGTTACAGGTTCTATTGGTATGATTTCTTTTTTTAAAGACTCACCTTGAAATGAACTTTTATCATATTAAGTTGAAAAGGAAGAGGGGAGGAAAAAAAAAAATCTCTGGCCATCCAAGAGGCCAAAAATAGGCCAGTTACATCATCTTCATTAAAATTTTAAGATCCTACTAGATCGGGGGATCAGTTACTCTTTCAAAAAACAATAGGGGCTGGAAGCATGGCTCAAGTGGTACGGTGCTTTTCCAGCAAGTGCAATACTCTGAGTTTCCAGTGCCACAAAAACAAGAAAAAGCAAAACAAAAAATCCATAACACACACAGAGTAGAGGATGATTTTGAAGGACTGGATGGATCCAGGGCTAAGAATTAAGCCATCATCTTTAATGCCATCTGTGACTGTCAATTCAGAACCAGGTAAGTCTAATCCTTTTTCACCCAAAAGTTTCTAAACATCAAGAACTTCATTTTACATTGTTTCACATCTTAACCTAAATATTTATATATCTGTTCATGTTAAGCATTGAATTATGTATACATACCATTTGAATAGCAGCGACTTGGCTACATCCATTTTTCCTTGTTTATACTCTGTTATCGCCAGAGCTGTCAAGATATGGGCTTTGTCTCGCTCTGATTCAACAATAGATAAGGCTCTCTCATAGGCTATTACATGGAATTGAAACAAGCAAACAACCAAAATATAAAAGCAATTATAATTGACAAAGTGTGCAATTTTTCCTTTCCTATTCCTAATCCTATTTTTCAAGAAGATTTAACTGAAATTCTATCTTATTGTTCCCTTGTTTTCAAGCAGATAGAATAAAAATTGGTAATAATCTACCTTGGTTTAACCATTCCATGGAGATTCTAGGGTATCATTAAGATTATTATGTGACAATTCCCATCTTCTACTTCTAGAATCTGTAGGGGATACCCCTGAGTCACTATCTTTAAGAGCTTCCTGAGACCTGAAATGGAGGCTCTGTAGCCACTAAGAAAATATCAAAACTCCTAATGCGGACCAAGCAACTTCACCAAGCAAAGAATGCTTAAATAAGTTGCACACATATATATGGGTAGGGCCCATATATGTAAAAATTTACTCAGCTAACGTTTTTGGAAAAACCAAAATCTATTATTACTAACAAAGGTTGAGGTCTTCATTTATCAGAAATTTTCATTTAAGCAATGCAGAATAGTAACATCTACTTTCAAATGCTAACTAATATATCTACCATAAGTGATATGGAACAGTTTCTTCCTGTGTACAGTAAATATTCAGCTCATAGTACTACAATAAAGACTACTTATCATCATAACACACTAACTGAGGTAACTCATTAAAAGTGCCTTTTATGGCTCCTGACTCTTGACTCAGATTTTAATGAACATCGCAACCTCTACCTCATCTCAGTATTATATCTTGCTGTATGTAAGCTCATGATGATTAAACTCTATTCAGCTCTGGAAAAGATGTACCCTTTAGCTTCAAGCAATATACTTACCTTTGCTGCTCTCTTTATACAGTCCCTTCATAAACAAAGCTAATGCGAAACCTATAATGTCTTCTAACTCTTCAAGAGGTGTTGATTTAAAAGCCTGGATAGCTTTATCATATTCACCAATGGAACTAAGAAGGAAAGCACAACTTATTTTTAATACTGAATAATTTTGGCTTGTATCATCAAAATAGAGACATACACACTAAGTGTTTTTCAGTAACTTCATCTTCATTTTCTTTTTTATACTGATAATTCAGTAAACTACAATCTACTAGTGCTAAAGTTGCTGAAAAGACTTACAACAGAAAGCATGCCTTTAAATAAGATGTCCTAGGGGGATTTTAACTTTAAACTTTCTTTGAAATTATACATGAAAATGACTGGCTCTGATAAATTAGTTTCTTTTTCTCAAACAAACTTAAATTAAAATCTCAAGTTATAATAGTAATTTCAGGTTGTCTTTTACACAGAATTTTAATTTTTAACCTTCAAAAAATTAAATATGCTGAGTATGAGTCTATCATCTTTAATAAGATTAATATATAAAATAGGTAGTTAGAATCAAAACTAGCCTTTGCGTAAACTATCTGAACATTCATTTTTTTTGGAGGGGGGCAGGCATATAAACACAATATAATTCTACAGACAAAGCTATACATTATCTTTTTGGTGTGTAATAGTGAGAATACAAATTGTAGTATATGATACTAAAGTACAATGCTGATTGGTAACAGCAAAATAACTTTTTATGCTTTTTTACAAAATGAAGAAAGGTTGCAACAATTACATTAACTGCCATCACCTGAGAACCTGAGATTCTTATTTCTGATATTCACCACTATAATCCAAATCTGTTTTATTTTAAATTATATTACTGGAAATCTTTTTACAAAATCTGTAATCTTGAAGGATATGAGTGGGAGCTAAAAACATGAGCAACCTTTGCTTCTACATATTAGTTTTACAAAGGTGAACAACTTTATAAAATCATTAAGCTCAAATTTTGATAAATACTTTGATGAAGACAGACTGCACATACTCATACACACATGTATATATATGCACATATACATATGTAAATTGTATTTTTTTTCTCTGTCAAATGTGGTTTTTATTCAACTGACAAGCACTTTTCTACAGCTGCATTCATGAAATTTTGGGTTTTTTCAGTGGGACTGGGGTTTGAACTCAGGGCCTCACACTTGCTAGGTACCACTTGAGCCATTCCACCAGCTAGAATTTCTTTAAATGAATACTATCTTCACAGATGTGATTACTTTTGTGGGAAAAAAAAGATGGAACTGGTGAAGGGCATAAGAGGACACTGAAAAAGAAATCTGAAGCAAACTGACAGAACTGAATGGTGATTTATACTTTATTATTTACTACATGCTTGCACTATCAATATTTCATAATAAAAAAATTAAAAAGAAAACAGCTTGTTTTCAATGAGATATAAATTTTCTTCTAAAATATTACATTATATGAAATATCAAAACTATAAGAAGCACTTTATTCCACAGTTTCTGAAAATATCTATTCTCTGCTTCAACAAAATTGTAGAACAATCTATCAACTCTTAAATGTAACAGTTTAAAAGTATTTAAAGGAGAGGTAATTAGAAGAGTAAAACTTTCCTGTTTCTGGACACGATTCAGTTATAAAAGAAAGGAACTGGCTACCTCAGGTTTCTATTATGGAGCTCCTTAAGAGATGCAGGTACTGATCCCAAAACATCAAATGTGCTTTGAACAGAACCACTCAATTTTAGGGCAGCTCTAAACCTGAAGAATACTTCCTTAACTTGAGTCAAAAACCTTCTTCTAGCCAGGCTCCATGGTCCATGCTTGTAATCCCAGCTACTCTAGAGGCAGAGAACAGGACATTAGCAGTTCAGGGCCAGCACTGGCAAAAAACTAGAGATTCTAGCTCAACCAATAGCTGGGCATGGTGGCACACTTGCCTGTCATCCCAGCTATGTGGGACACATAGAACAGAAGGTTGGCCTAGATAAAAATCCAGTATCTGTCCCCAAAGTAACCAAAGCAAAAGGCCTGGGGGCATGGCTCAAGTGGTGGAGTGCCTGCCTAACAAGCATGAGAACCCAAGTTAAACTTCCAGTACTACCAAAGGACAAAGAAAAAGAAAACAACCTTCTTCCTATAATACTTCTATACCCTCCTCTTAGTTCTACCCTCTAAAACAACTGTTTGTTTGTGGTACTGGCGTTTGAACTCAGTGCCTCATGCTTGGTAAGCATGCACTCTAACATTTGAGCTAAGCCCCCAGCCCTTTTTTGCTTTTAGTTATTTTTTTTAGGTAGGGACTCACACTTTTTGCCAGATACCAGCCTCAAATGGTTATCCTCCTATGTCTCCCTTGTAGCTGGGATTATAATCTGGAAACACCAAACTCAGTTTGTTTGTTGAGATGGAATCTTACTAGCTTTTTACCTAGGATGGCCTGGAACTGCAATTGTCCCAATCTCCACCTCCTGAGTAGCTGAGATTACAGGTATGTACCACATACCCAGTCAAACAAGTGTTTTTAATCATCATTATGTTTTTTGCTTTTAGTCAGAAGCCTTTGAGAATCTGAGGAAAGATCTATAGCACTATCTCCAAATTTTTGTGAATTATTTCAATGGAAGTTCCTGGTCCTCTAATGTCCATCCTCAATTTAAGAATACATAGCAAGGCTAGGCATCCAGTGGCTCATGCCTGTCATCCCAACAATGCAGGATGCTGAGATCAGGAGAATTGTGAATCCAGCCCAGCCTATGCAAAAAAATTCATGAGACCCCATCTCATGGTGGCATATGCCTGGCATTCCAGTGACAGCAGAAATTGTAATTAGGAGGATCCAGTCCAGGCCTGGGCAAAAAGCAAGACCCTATTTCCAAAACAACCAGGGCAAAAAAGGCTGGAAGTATGGCTCAAGTGGTAGAGCACCTGCCTACCAAGTGCAAACCCCTGAGCTCAAACCCCAGTACCACAGGGCAAAAAAAGAAATTATAGCTCAGTAAATTCAATTCCACTTCTAGATACTGAGACTTCTAGTAGAGACAACAACTAGCTCTCTCCCAAATGTTCTTCTGTCTAGTATACAACCATAAGCTATAGTTTTGCTCCTTCTAAGGCCTACTGGGGTTAGGTATTATTATAGGCAGAGGACAGATTTGATCCAGCCTGGTACTCTGTGCATAAAGTATCCTCCATGTGCCAGTGCTCTGGACTGGTCATCACCTCTCCAGTGCCCACAGCTCTCCCAGAAAAAAACACAACAGATTCACAGAATTAGTGGGGAAAAAAATGCTTACCATACCAATCTGCCATAATTTCTTACTGTAACAATGTAAGTATCTTGGTCTTCTATAGTCTGTAACAACAAAATTGCCCTTAAAAAAGGACAGGTATTTTAAATTATCTATGTGCAACAGCATTGTTTTACTCTTCTTTAGGTGAATCAGATTTCTGTTCTGTTCATTTTAGTATACTAATTCTTAAATACTAGCTGTAACAGCTTTTTTATATTTTATTAAGTTGATACCATAAATGCACTTAAATATATTTAGATTTTAGCTTGTTAGGAAAATAGCTTCAACAGTCTCAACACATGAAATTATTTACTGTATTTTAGTTCCAAAATATTAGATGGAAAATGATCATCTCACAGTGTTATATCTTGACATATTTGAGTGTATAGAGGATACCCTTGACAATCTTATTCACTAGTAGTTTGACTTTAGAAGGCAGGAAACTGGGCACTTTTGTGTGCCCTTGGGCTGTACATACAGGAAGACTAAAGAACTGTGGATTAAGGAATCAGGTCATCAGAAGTTCCTCCAGGCTTAGGATAAATGTGCCAACATGCTGACAGCACGTACTTCCTTTTATGCTCAGTCCTCTATGGGCAAGGAAGGAACTGTCTTAAAAACTAAAAACAGCTGGGTAGCTAATAAGATTTTGTTTTTTCTTTTCTGCTTAAAGAGGACATCCCATTGACGTTACGTGAGAAACAAAATCTGCAAGTTGCATAAAAATAGTACAGAGATGAAAATGTACTTCTGGTTGAACTTATGAGTAATTTGTGGTTTCAAGCCTCAAATACTGTAAGGCAGAAAATAGCAGTGGCAATCAGTCAAGAAAGAGTATGCACATCTAGTGACTGTGGAGCTGCCACTTTATGCTCAACAGGTACCAGTGTTAGATTCACAATATCTGCAATAACAATAGCATGTACGAAAAAGTAGCAGACACCCAAAAACTGCCTATTTTAATCTGTTCAAAAATTTTGCTTACTGTTGCATTCCATTATATTTATGCAGTTTGTTTACTGGGAGGTTTATTGACACTGAAAGAAACAAAATTGTGGCTGTTCATAAGCCTCTGTATATATACACCTGGAAAAATAATTTCTTGATTGTATAGCCTCCAGTACCATCTAGTGATTACTGTTTTGAACTACATACAGAGATCCATAAAAGGATGTGACAAAGTACTTGGGACACCTCATTATACCTGACAAGACATCACGTAAACATTTATTTAGATGTGAGGTAATAGTGTGCCTTACAGGTTAGATAATCGGGTCTTTTAATTTTCATGTAGAAGTTATCACAAGGTCAATAGTTATTTTCTTATTCGCCTATCCATTGATTTTCAGAGAACAAAACTTTAAGCTGCTGACTGGTCATTCCACTCTGGCCCACTGTTTTTTTTGTTTGTTTCTTAAAGATGTCAAGCTACTTCTGTTTAAGAGCACTTTCTTTTGCTTTTCCCTCTGCCTCAATGCTGTTGGCCAAATAATTAAATGCTTGTGGCTTCATTTCATTCATGCCAAGCCTCAATTCCTTCTCAGTAAACTCACTCCCCTTGAATTCATCTGAAATTTCACTTTCTGCACCTGAATTCTATGGCCCTTTACCCTATTTTGATTCTTTCTTAGCAATTATTATCACAGATCTTTATTAGTTTATTTGAGTATCTCTCACCACCAAAACAGGAACTACATGAGAAAAAGCCCTCCATCTGCTTTAATTCACTGCTAAATTGCCAGGGTGGAGGACACTGTTTGGCATATAGTAGTTCAACAAACATTTATTGAACTGAATAAATATATAGTAGATACTAAAGTAATTAAAGCAAATAAATATAATGTTGTCATTTCTTGTCTGGTTGAACACATCATATAATAAAGTGAGACTATATTTTAGGGAACAGATTTTCTAAAAAAAAAAAAAAATTTAAGGGATTTTTGCTTTGTGTCTCTCTTCCTCTGTCCCTCTGCCTCCCTCCACTCCATCTTTTGCTTTAAGTAACTGAAACTAAAATACAGCTGAAAATTTGGGACTGTACCTTCTCACCTTTTAAGAGTAATAATAATATAGAGTGAAGATCAGGAAGGGAGTCAGAACATTCAGTACCTTCTTCAAGAGAATGAGACTACATTTTTGAAAACTGATGAGACAATGACTACATTTCAATTAACTATAGCTTACCTTTGGTATGCATCTGCTGCTTCCTTTTTCAGCTGTAGATGTTCATTTATGTAACCCAACATTGTAAAAGCTGGAGCGTAATTCTGAATTCGTTCTGGAAATCCAGAAACATCTCTATTTGTGTATACTCGTTACGTTCACAAAAGTATTAGTTTACTTTCCACTTTTTCAGTGCCTTGAGATCATTGGCATTATTAAGAATAATGATCTAATTTTATCTCGAATATACCAGCAATCATTTTATAACTCTTCCACATTACTACATAATACTTAACAGTCATATATGGCTTCTAGTTATGCTTTAGAGTTTAAAAACTTTTCTCCAAAGTATAGTAATTTGAAATTATAACTCATGTTAAAACTAGTCATGATATTTACAAGGAAATTCAGTTCTTTGGCCAATCAGCTAAGCCTTCCTGTGATTTAACGTAGTAACAATTTCTTTTGGTGGTTCTGTTGCAATCTCTGTATGTTTTTAAAAAAGAATAATTACATGTTGTACACTAAGAATAAAAGATGATTTGGGCACTTTCAATGAAGTATTTTGAAATGCTAATGTCAAGAAATGTCATATATCTACTAGGTACATCAGAGAGACACACACCTAATCTAGTCTACTTAAAAGTGGTATTGAGAAACAAGCCTTCAAATCCCTTAAACTGCTCAACAAAAAGTGCAATGTAAACACAAATCTTATGTGACGGTTAGGTTCTCACATCAAAGCATAAGGTGAAAATCATAGTCAAACTTATTCTTGAAAATCCCTAAAGTCACCATACAAGAAAAGGGTCACAAAACTATGTCAAAATAAGTCTGAGGAGATCCATGTCTTCACATGCCATAATATCCTAAGGTACCCTGTCATTAGGATGGACAAGGGACAGTCTACATTCTCTCTCATCACTCTCTCTTTTCTACTTCTACTTTGCAAGTTCTTTATGGGGGCAACAAGCACACAGTGTTGAATTTTTAAGTGGATATGATATGGTTTCACTAAAGTTAAAAAAACAGTTATGCTGCTACTAGGCATAATTGTTAGAAAATCATTTATTCACTGGTTTGGGTATTTTAATTTTGCTGAAAGCTAAAGATTTACCTCATTATGTCAATTCTTTACAAAAGTTACTCATTCAATAAGGAAATTCATCAATCAGATTTCTAGCAATATAATTCCTCAGCTCTAGATATTTATTAGTCTTCATTTTGTCATACTTCATAATATGATAATGTCCCAAGTACAGATATGTGTAAACAAATAACCTTCTTCTACATAAATGGCTCAGACTAAATTCATGAACAGGACAACATATTCAGTGAGCCATTTTATCTCTTGCTTTTTACCTTCATGTTACTCAACTGTTGGTATTTTCTGCTATCAGTATCCTTGCTTAAACTCCTAGCTTCTTTATTGCAATTTTGTCAAAGGCTAATGAAACTATCACTTCCTGAGCATCTACAGAGGCCAGGTACTCTGCATAACATTTTGCATAATTCATCTCACTAAAATCCTAAGCAATAGGTAATTTCCTTCTTATATTATCGGTGAGAACCCTAAAATTCAATTTATAGTATGCCCAAGACTTCAGTCATGACTAATAAGTAGTGGAACAGAGATTAAAACCAAATGGTAGTTTTATTAAAGAAGAGGGGAAATAATTTCAAAGAAGGTTAAACTTCACCTGTCAATTTTCTAAACCTAAATCTAGTTTCCCAATATCCTACAGAAAAATCAGGTATGAGAGGGAGAAGTTAAAGGCATTGGATTTGATACTTCATATATATTATCTCATCAAATCCTTACAACTCTGTAAGTACAGTATTATGATCTTCCCTGTCCAAGCAGTAAACAAAAATTAAGAGAAGAAAAATACTTGACCTAAGGGTGAAAAGTAAATGGTGGAGCTAGAACAACAGCAATTAACACCTGTTAGGCTCCAAAGTACTCTTACACTATTACAATGAAATCACTTTCATCCTGAATTATTAAGTAATAAGAGTCTTATCACTCTTCAAAAGCCCTTATAATGGTTTAAAAAGTAGACTACTTGGCATAGCAACAAAAAGGCAAATTCTTTAAGTTATTTTAATAGTTAATCGTATCTTCCCATTATAAACAGGTACCTTACCTACATATTTACACAAAACAACCTGTGCTGCTGGAATAGCATTCATCTGGAGGATGTTGTACTGGTACAGCTCTGTTTCTCTGTTACTTTTATCTTGTAATGTTGTGCAGACCCAATACGCATAACCTATTGCTCCCTCAGTCTTTAAAAAAAGCAAAAAATTAGTAAGTAGACACAGGTTAAAAAAATTAAGAAATAAAAAAATGCACTTCAATACAGTAAGTAATATGTCTTAATCTTCTTTAACTGTTGAGTGATTATTTACTTATTTATATTTGGTAGAACTGGGTTTGAACTCAAGAATTTTGCCTGCTAGACAGACAGGTACTCTACTACTTGGACCAAACCTCCAGCTCTGTTGAGTGCTTTTAAATGAAGGTTCACCACTTCTTCTCATTTTAAGTAGAAGAATCAAATGGACTAAAGTGTAGGAAATAGCCTCTTGCAATGGGTTGGTTTTTTCTCCCTCAGTACCATTCCCACAGATTAAACAAAACTAATGAGACATAAAACATTTTCATAAATAATCTAGAAATGTCAACCAAGTCTACTCTTCATCTCATGTCTACTTTTTTCTAATAGTTTCTATTCTACGTAACTTGTTACTGCATCTATTAACTCTTGATGCCATTTCTTTGTCAACTTTTAAAAACTGATAGGAAGATGAAAACTAAGTTCTTTTAAAAACAGGTATCTATTTCTGTGGAAGAACAAAGAGTAGAAAAATCTGCTGTCTTATCTTATGTCACCATCAATTTTCTTAGCAGGGATAATATTTTGTTCATTAACAGATCCTCAAAAAGAATGTTAAAATTCTTACATGCATACTGAGTTCTGTAGTGTGCCTAAAGAGATCCATGGTGTCATAACTTCCAACTGTCTCTGCAATAAGAGCCTGTAAAAGGAAAAAAAAAAGGTCTTAATGTATTAAAAATAATAATAATGATAAGTGGGTCTAGAAGAACCAAAGGTTTACTAGCTATGCTTAAAAGCAAAGTTAAGTCTTACTTCTACTGTTATGAGTTTAATTAAACCTTTCATGTACCTCCTGAAATAAATTATTTTTAAGAACAAAAATACTTTCAAACTTAAGATCTACTGAGCTCGAGCAGTACAAAACGAGGTACCTAGACTAGTCTCATCATCGTTATAATTTGTGAAGGCAGAAACACAAATCCTTAAACTCTCTGGCTTCAATAATTGGCACAGAGGTTAGCAAAGAAATGCCACTGCTCCCAGATGCTACCACACTTAATGGGAACAGGAGTTTGCTTTTCTATCTCTCCTTACTTTATCAATTGATTAGAATTAGACTCAAGAGACAAAAGTACAATAGAAGCTACCTAATCCCTGATTAATGATTCTCTGGTACAGCTGAAATTCCTACTGTTCTCTGAACCAAAACAATTAACCACTTACTAATTCATTACAATTTCTCAACTAGATAAGACACTGAAGGCCACTCAGTCCCTCTACTTTCTTTTTCAGATGATAAAATTAAAATCTACAGATGTAATGTTAAGGTAAAATAATCAGTGGCAGACTCAGACTAGTAACCAAGTATCCTGATTCTGTTTGGCAGTACAACAACTAAACATGAGGGAGGAGAAAATATTCCTAAGTACCAAACCAAATGTGAAGACTTTACAGAAAATGAGAAAACAATAATCAAAATGAACTTTGTAAATGTGCATTTTCTCTATAAATATGAGTTAAGTAAGAGTTCTGGGCATAGTAATGTCAGACTTATGGTGTACAAAGTTTAATCCTTATAAGCTATGTGACCTTATGTACAATACTTAGGACCTCTGAGCTTCAATTTCCACATCTATAAAGGATTGATGACAGGTTAATGGAAAAAATGTGTACAAAGAGCTAAGCACAATAACTGTATACAACAAGATTTCAAATGCTACTTACTATCATTGTTATTTATATGAATAGGCTACTTATATCAGTAAGTTTACTAACTGATATTATGTATCTTACTTGTCCAATCCAGCACATTAAATAAGAGGGATCAAGGGACTGAGCCATTTTGAAAGCTTCGTGAGCTTGCTAGGAAAAAAATGAAAGAAAATATCACATCAAGTAATTTTTATAAACAGTGTTAAATTCTGTTTAAAAACCATAAAATAAGAGAATAAGAAAAGTCAAACCTGTCTTAGGTGCATGACCCTAACACTAAGCACAGTTCACAATGCTTAATGCAGCTTATCTACAAAGCTAGATAGTCTTGGAACAATCCTAGTACAACAGATTTCTCTATAAAACAACAGTTTCTAACTTGTAGTACGCAGAACTTTTAACATCTTTACTAGCCACAGATGTGAAAGAAGTGACTAAATAAGATAAATAAGTGTATCTATCCCCTTCTCTTTAAGCTTAACCAAAAGGATAAGAAGTCACAACCAATGAGGTCAATACACAGACCTGATACTGTAGAAACAGTCATCAATACCATAATTCTGCACAAGGCAGTCAAAACACTTTGAAAATATTTCATTTGGATCATTAACTCGCATCTTTTTTTTTTATTACTACCAAAAAAATTTACTATTCCATACTGCTTTATACTGTTTTCTTGGTAATCTGTATGTAGCAGAAAAGAGTTATTTTTACTAATACAAAGTAAGCTTACAAACAACAACTGTGCCATGCAATAAAAAAACCACATTTGTGGCTTACTACGACACTGCTCAATTTAAAAGTTTTTAAAAAATATGTTCACTTATTTACTTTCTCAGGGATCAAACCCAAGGCTTTGCACACACTAAACACATACTCTACCACTGAGCTCTAGCTCCAGCACTTCATGTATTTTAAGATTCAAATTAATATATTCACTCAATCTACTTACAGTCTTCCAAAGTCAGTCTCCTAATGTATTGCCAAGAATATTATGGAAGTTTCTTTTTATATATTTGTGGAAACTTTCCAAGCATGACTTATAAACATGCTTCTGGTTACTTAAGTTCCAATTCTATAATGTATAACTTGCTCAAGTATGAGATTATATTGTGGTATTTAAAGGGATTAAGTCACTAAAGCCAAAATCCAAATCATTCCAGCAAAGGTTAAGTTTAAGTTGTTACAGAATCTAATCATCTTTCTTAGCATCTACTCCACCTCAAAAGTGTACACAGGACTTCCCTTAAATGTGCACACAGAAGAAAACCCAATTAGTCATGTTAGACTTTTTTAATCTCTAAAAACCACGTAAGTGTAACCAGAAGTCTCATGAGTGTCATGGAAGGAAAACATTCATTATTGATGTAAAAAATTAGTATCATCAATTAATTAGCATACGTGAGAACACAGAAGATAGATAACAAGTGTAAAGTATTTTACCACAAGAAGTTAATTTATTATGAAGAGATTATAGACAGAAAGTGTTCTTTATTGTTCATATAACAAAACTGACAACGCATTACCTCAATGTTTTCATTTGCAAGATATAACACTCCCAAGTTGGTCCATGCAACAGCATTCTAACATTAAAAAAAAAAAAAAATTAGGCTCCTTTACCTACTTGGAAATCTCAGAAAATTAGTAACATTAAATTCTAAAGCTCTTTTTTATAGATACATAGAACACTTACAATTTGTTCTGACTGGATTGACTTGATAAAACAGTGCTGAGCAAGGGCATAATTTTCAACACCTGAAACATAGAGAATTTGAAGTCACTGAACTTTGTTACCTGAAAAAATAATCTTCTAAAAATACTGAGATGTTGCTCAACTCTCACCACTGTAACATGCCACCACACCAAGAGCATTCCAGTATAAGTGATTGTTACTATCGAGTCTCACTGCCTTTTTCAGACACTGAAAAGAAGTTAAAATAATTTTTATTTTATGGAACATCAGAATTTACATAAAAATGTGATTTTTATGTGAAAACACTTTAGTATTTATCAAAAACATCTTTCATAAAATGCTCTTTTTTTTAAGTTTATAAAAAATTTCTCAAAACCATACATGTAAAGATTTCTCCAGCAATTCTTTGAGATCGTTAGTGCTGCTGCCTGTTTCTGCTAGATGTTGTGCTTGGCGATAATAATTAATTCCAAGATCACACCATGTATTAGATGTAGACATCAGTTTTAATGCACGACCGTAACATCTATAGAAAAATAAAAATGAATGTTATGTTTTTTTTTCATAATGTGCTAATTCCGTTTGAATATTAATAAATGGTAATCCTTGTAAATTACCTTCCTCCAAGATGGAGAAGCTCATTCTTCTTTAATATTTGTTTTCCTTCTTTCTGACCTAGAAGGATTCCTAAAACATTAACATTCACTTTAGATGGTGAAACAGCACACAGGCTGGTACAAGCATCCCCAACCAGCTTCCAAAGGCAGGACACATCAGCTCGATGCTGCAGAGCCCTAAAAGAAGAAGCAATGTGGTTCTTAAAAATTATTTCCAAAAAGTTTAGAGATTATATTCCCCATTACTACTTATAATTAAAGCAGAAAAATCATACATGAAATGCTGATTAAGTGCTACTAACTTAGTTAAGCTCTATCAATGCTTTACTAACCCTCCTAACTGAATTATATCCTATCACCTCCTCAACAGAAGATGTGAAAGAAGGGAAGGGAGAGAAGGAGGAAGGAACTGAGTATTCCTCAAATCAAATAATGGAAAGAATTTTCCCAGACCAATATACTTTTAATATTGAATTTTTTAAAGTGTGCTCTTTCTGTTTTACACTTAACTATAGACCAGTGCAGTAACTACTTTACACTTAATTATAGACCAGTGCAGTAACTATTTTATACTTAACTATGTAAACTCGGGGTTTTTGCTTTTAGACCTACTCTCAAAGAAAAAAAGGAGTAAATGTATGAAATACATTTGGTGAGCCAAAGGATTTTCATTCTGAGGCCAAAAGTAACATGAAACTGTGAAGATCCACATTTACAGAAGCAAGTAAGGGCAGACAAATTCAAAAGGTAAATAGAAATACTATTTACAGAGATTGGGGGGGCACCTCTTTTTAGAATGAGAAAATAAGAGTTATTATACATTTCTCTCCATTTTTCTCAAGATCTTATAAATAAAACACAGCAATTTCATTCAAGCCACGCCTCAATAACTAGGCTAGTACAAACTGCTATGTCACTGGCAGATGGACAAGCAGATGGAGCAGTCTTCATAGCCTTTTCTACTCAGGAGTCCAGCCAAAAATAATTTCCCAATATCATCCTGAGAAATATTATTTCAGTTATGACTGAAAACCCACACTGAGAATCAGAAGGACAATGCTTTTTCAAGTTCCTTTAAATATCTTAGCAAAATTTCTAAAAATGACAGTACGAAAGGGAAAAAAATAGAATGAAAAAAAGAAAAAGTAAAACAAGAATTTTGGGGGGGCATGTATACAGGGGTGAACTTGGCCTCACAATTGGTACACAGATGATCTACCACTTGAGCCACTCTACCAGCCCTTTTTGTGTGGTTATTTTTGAGACAGGGTCTTGCTTTATGCCTGGGTTGGCCTAGAATGCAGTGCTACTTATGCGTCCCCAAGTAGTGGGGTGACAGATACCACTGTGTCCACACATTGGTTGGAATGGGTCTTGTGAACTATTTCCCCAGGCTGGCATCGAAGCACAATCCTCCCTATCTCTTCCTCCCAAGTAGCTAGGGTTACAGGCTTAAGCCATTGCACCCTGGCTAAAACAGGAAATTTTAATAGCATTATGTACTTTTAACTTCAATTGAAAAAAAAAAAAAAACCTGTAAAGTAAAATAACTCCTAACACCCTTACATAATAATTATGGTAGTGTGAACTTCTTTTAGGTCTAAAAGTAAAGATAAATTTTGGATAATAATTTTAAACATTTTATATACCATCTTAGAATTGGTTCTGAGTGCTATATATTATCCAGAATACAGCTTCCTAGGTTCAGAAAAGCAGTAAATGTAGCTAAAGTATTGTCAACACAGGTTCAGATTTACTCTTCAATACTAATTCAAGCGAAGCATGCCTGCTTCACAATAATTTTCTCTTTGGGAAGAACTGCATTATATGAGACTTAAAAAAGCAGCAATAAAAATCTGTGAGACAGAAAAGGTTGGGTATCAATCAAATAGGAAACAGGAGAAGACATTTTGGGGAAAAAAAGGAAGAGATACACAAGAAAGATTATGAGCAAAAAATTTCAAATTTTTATCTAACTTGTACACAAAATTATTTATTTTTTAGATGGGGGTCTCACTATGTTGTCTAAGTTGGCCTTGAGCTCTCAATCTTCCTGCATTAGGCTCCCAATTAGCTAACATTACAGGCATATGCATCCATGCTCAGCATTATTTGTGGACTTTTTAAAAGTCATTTACCACAAATAACACTTACAATAAATTAACTAATAAATCTACAGGTCTACAAAATACCAGATTTATTTAAATTTTTGATTCTTTTATTATTAGACAGACAACTTTGTTTTAGTTTCTCTACAGGAATAATTACACTGTTTATTTCCCCTTACCTTTAGCCCTACCAATAGACCTAAAATAGGTCCTTACTACCGGATGTTAAGCATACTGTGTACCTGAAGCCCCATTTCCCAATTAATTCCAATGTCCAGATCCTGAAAGAGAACACTAACAAATGGCATCAGAGTTGCTGCTCCATTAGTAGACTGCTTCTTCCTCCCTGCTTTCCCTTGTGTATAACATGCTGTCCACACAAAGAGCACAAGAAATTGTTACCTATTTCTCCAAATGCAAAATTAACACAATATGCATGCTACAGGATTGTCTAGTCTGTTATTCTGTATGCTTAGTACTCTGAATCACTGTTGTATCTAACAGACATAAAATTACTTTCTAAATTTGGCTTCATTATACTATTTATAAAATACAATAAATAATAAGAACAGTACTAACCAAGTAAAATATTCCACTGCTTTTTCTATGTAGTCTACAGCTTTGCCATCAAGATAATCAACCAGAGCTGCTTTTGCCATCATAAGATGACATTCACCCAAACCTAAAATGAGGTAAGTTTGTACTTGTCAATAAAATATGTAAAACAAACACTTAAAATGAACTTCAAATAAGTGTACTGTTTTTTTTTAAAGCTACTTCTCAGAAAACAAAACTTAATAGTATTTTATACAATTATCTTTAAATATGATCTTGCTTACATTTAGTAAGGAATTCAAATGCCAGGATTCTATTGGAGTACACATGCACTAGAAATTATAAAAAGTTACCTGTAAAACCTAAGAATTTGCTTGACTTCAGGCTAGTTACTTTCCTCTTAGAACCAGAGTTACAAAGAATATTATCTAAGTTATACTCTCTATGATAAAACTTTAACTGTTGTCAAAAAAGATTTATCTCTTTATATTAAAATCTGGGGATGTAGCTTAGTGGAAGAGCACTTGCCTAGCATGTGTGAAACCCTGGGTTTGATCCCCAGTACTACAAAACAAACCAACCCAGCTCTTTATATTAAAATCTACATAGCATACTACACCATAAAAATTAAAATGAAGTAGTGATTTCCTCAAGTGCCTAGTAAACATTTCATAAATATGAGCATTCCTTTACTTGAGGAATTTAACATAAAAAAAAAATTCCAAGCAGAGAAGAAAATGGAGCAAAGTATAAACAATAGGCTCAAGGTTTTTTTTAAATGGTAAGATATAATCATAAAAAATTTAATTTTATATATAATGGTGATGTTTTTCTTTTATCGATCAAAAATAATTTGTTAAGAAGGAATAGAAATCCATAAACTAAATCAACTTAGATAAATATAAAACAATACAGTTTGCCTCTAAAATTTAAAAAAAAATTTAAGTAAGTTTCTATAATCTACAAAATAATTAAGTATCAAGATATTCTGGGGATATGGTAAATTATCAAAACATAAGAGCAGAAAAACTTGATTTAGAGGTCCATTCTTAAGTCCAATAGCTAAATGATATTTGTCTAAACATTAAACCCCTATTTTCTTACTATTTATTAACAGTTATGAAGCAAAATTCTATCTTTTTAAATTCAAATAAGCTTTACTATAGGAAGTTCATATCAGATGTTTGCTATTAACCAAGTAAGTTTTTTTTCAAGTTATTCAATACTTTTACATAGGAAATTTACTCAAGAATTTTAATTCAGTATCACAAACACCAAAAGTGCTCTGAAAAAGAAACTACCTTTCAAGGCAGGCACATAATCTTCTTCCTCTTTAATGATTAGCTGGTATTGAGCTATCGCCTCCTTATACTTGCCGAGGATTTGCTGTATTGCTGCAACCTTAAACACACTGTATGTAGATTCTGGGTTCAGTTCGCTGGCTTTTGTGAAGGACTTCAAGGCTGTTGTATAGCTACCTCTGCTTAAGTACGCCTCTCCTAATGACTCCCAACAATTGAAATCCTTTGGGTCTGCCCTTAATGCTGCCTGTAAACTAAAATTTCAAGAAAAGGTAAGAGAACTAAAAGTAACATCTACATCTGAAAAGGAAATGTGAAATAATTCAACTGAATCAACATAACAATGGGTCGTTCTATTTAAAAAAGTGCTACTTAAAGCAGGTATACCTATTCCTTTTATGACCTGAATTTTTTAAATACTAAGAAGCTTTGTTACAATTTCAGAACGAACAAGAACAAAATATTCTTTTGGAAAAGTACTGGCCAGAATTTCTTTTTCTTGATTATCTGGAAGAACTCCACTTTTCTATCTTACCAGGATACATGGACACCTCGATCTGCCTCATCAGTCTAGAAACCCTCACTACCTTCTACTAAACTACTGAAGTACAGAAATAAGAGGAATGCTTTAAAATTCTGATCAAATTGCATTTTTATGAAAAATTTCAGGGCTGGCAGAATGGCTCAAGTGGTAGAGAACCTGCCTAGCAAATGTGAGGCGCTGAGTTCAAACCCCAGTGCCACCAAAGGGAAAAAAAAAAAATTCAAAATGCCTACTTTCTAGGCAATAATATAAATCATAAATGACTTCAACTTGATGAAACTGTTTTGTTTACCCTGAAGTATAGTTCAAACCAAATGATTAAAACTGATCATATATGAACTGTCCTAATTGCCCTATGAACTGCTAAATATCACCCTTGCCAAAAAACTATGAATATTAGCAAAAGAACAAAAATATTTACTACACCTTTTTATCATTACTGAAATTTCTCTTGAGAACCTACTAAATGTATGATAGTATCAAAGCTTGACTTCACAAGACTGCCCTGCTCCTCAACATGAAGAAACAATTTAACCTGTTTTTACTTGCCTTACATAAAATAAGCACCAATCAACCATAAAAACATTTCCTATTTCTTATCTCAAAACCTGATAAAAGGTCACTTGGGGCATAAAAGAAATTTAAGAAACCATTACAATGTCTAAATATAAACATAATATGGTGCCTTACTCAGCCACTGCTTGAGAATGTTGACCAGCTTTCAAATAATACAGTCCTCGCCTAAGCCAGGCCCACTTTGCCGTTCCAGCACTTGCCTTTTGAGTTACTGCTGTTAAGATAGCTAAGGCGGTCTCCTAATAAGAAAATATTAATATTAGAGGCACTGAATATCATAAAAAACACAGAATACCTATATAAAGTACATTGACGTATTTTCATTTCCCTCTTCTGATTTTTTTTAAACTTACACTGGTATATACCAAACTAGTTTTCAATAATGTCATGAGTAGTATCTGCCAAAAAAAGAAACTGAAGTCTATAAATGGTGGCAAAAACATTTCTATTACATCTACAAAGGAAAAAATAACTAATGGTAACTTTCAAGTATATCTGTCTATAAGATATTTGGATTTACACACTCAGGATAAAAAACGAAAAGGCAAAGTGGTTATTAGACATACCATATCTTCAAGCTCCGCACTTAAGTCAACTGCTGCAGCTCCAGATTCAGCATCAGTGTCATCTAATTCAAAAGCCTTCCTGTAACATCCACGAGCTCTGTTTTTATCTCCCACTACATCTCTGTAATAATGACCTAAATAGCAAAAAACTTTGCCCATGTATGTATCCAATTTTGCAGCCTGTGAAATAAATATTGACAACAAAATGCTAAAAGTTCATTTGGATGAGTATCTTTAAAAACACAAAAGATACAGTATACAGATTAAAGAAAAAAAGAACTTTATTAAATATACAAAAATAAGCCAAAATATCCTTTAGTGTAGGATTTAAAACAGATTTTAAAAGCTGGTCCTCACTATTACTTCTTTGGTAATTACAAAATTACAGCTATTGTTAAATTAACCTGCTCTTATGAATCAAGATTACATAAGACTTTCAGGTGTAAAACACCTAAAAAAAAAAAAAAGTTAAAAATCTAGACTCATGTGTCTATAAAACTAAGTATCTAAAAACAGTATTGTTTTCCAGAGGTAATTATATCTCATTTTCTGTAGCACACATTTTTGAAAAAGAATGGTTTCATTTCCTCCTTGAAAATCTACATAACATTCTCACAAAAACTTCAATGAAATGATACACAAAAAAGTTCAATAATTTTAACTACAACTTATATGATTCCTAGTTATGATTTTAGAATGAATCCACTCCAACTAAGAATTGAACAGCAACATTTGTTTACCTTCAGAAAGTGGGTAAGAGCCTTTGTTTTATCTTTTCTTGTTTCTTCATTCATGAACCAATATGTTAACCCAAGCTGGTAATGATATTCAGCAACTTCAGCATCTTTTTCAAGTGCTTTCTGGAAACTAAGTCACCAAGGGGAAGTAAAAAGGAACATTAAAATAAATAAATCTGTGTGTGTGTGTGTGTGTGTGTGTGTGTGTGTGTGTGTAAAATACAGAAGTACAGAAGACTCCGAGTTAAAAATAATCCATATTTCAGGATTTAGACTATAATGAGAAAAAATCTTTTTTTAGGAGAAGAGCTGAGAAATGCCCACTAGCACTATGGCCTTTTAGCAGTACCATGTGCTAAGTCTTCAGAACATATATTGAGCCTTACATTTGCTAATGGGACATTATGATCAGATAATTAGATTCAAAATCCAACATAGGATTTTTACAGTTACTGCACTATATACGAAATACATTTCTTAAAAATACTAAGACATGATGCCTTCAAAAATCAAATTTACACAAAATTGGGGTCTTTATCAAGCCCATTTTGAATTCTTAAGAAATACAATAAAGTACGATGCAACTAGATCTATAAACTTTGTGTACATACACACACACACACACACACACACACACACACACACACACACACATCGATAGACATCCTTACCATTTTTCTGCTTGCAGATAGTCCTTTTTGGTAAAATGAATCAAAGCCTCAAGAGCATGGGCTTCAGTTAGGTCAGGGTAAGAAGAGAGAAGGTCTTCCTTAATCTGTAAAGTAGATAGCTGTCAATTTCATATCTATATAAAAATGACTTTTAATAACAATTAGTTTAAATTTACAAAACCAACCTTGGTAGCTTCATCTAATGAGCCTTTGTTCAGATAGGCCAAGCTTTTGAGAACCAAGAGTTCTGGAATATTATTTGCATCAGAAACCTAGAAAATAATTATAAAGAACTGCTGTAAACCTCTTTCGTAAAACTGCAACAATATCTGCTTTACTCAAAGGATAAAAGAAGTGTCCAGAATAAAGACACGGAGGTCATACTTTTCAATTACTATTAATACTTTAATTCTTTTTAATCATTTTATTAGGAAAATGTCACATATGCTAGAAACTAGTATAATAAATCCATATTTATCCACAACCAGCTGCAAAATTACAAACTCAAAGACAGTCCTTTTTCATCTATGTATCTATCCATTTTGCTGCACTCCTGTCAGATGATTCTAAAACAAATCTTAGGTAACTTTTCCTCTGTGATCTTTAAGTATCTATATTTAAAAGGTAAATTCATTTGCAAATGACATAACCATACATTCTACTTCCATCTCTCTTTCTCCCTTACAATTTAACTGCTGAAAATATGGGCCATTTGTCACAGTTAGATCTCTAAGTATGGATTTTGCTGAATGTATTCTCATGGTGTTCAACATTTTCTTTTGTCCACTATATTTCAGTAGTTAGGTCTAGAAATTTGATCTGCTTCAGGTTTGATGTTTTAGCAAGAATACTTCATGCATACTTGTACTTGGTTGTATCTGACTGTCTGTCTTTCTGTGATGTTAGCAGCCATTGATCCTAAATGCCTAGATCTATTTTTTTCAGTAGGAATTATAAAACAGTGATTTTTCTATTCCATTATCCCTTCTTTCCTAATAACATGGAATTCTTCAACAAAAAGAAATTTCCCCTTCCCTCATTATCTATTTGGTTATCCTGAAAACAGTACAGGAAAAGCAGAATGAATGTTTTGATTCTTTCCAGATGGTTCCTTAGCATCTTCCAATGACTCTTTTTTCTTGAATTTTTTTGTATAATTGTGCACATATGAATTTAAATATATCTGATGTGCTTCAATCCGCCAGCTACTGGAACCCTCTTTGGCCACTGAGAATCTCTTTAGTCCAGCTTCTGAGTCCTTCTGACAAGTAGCCTCTTATAGTTTCCTTGATTTCTAGCATAATGAGATATTCTATGCTCATTTTGCAATGTCTGTCTCAAACTTAGACTCTTCTAGTCCCTGAAGAAATCTTTCTTCTCTGTGAAAGTTATTAGAAAGATCTCTATGATGCAGAAGGCAAACAGAAAATAAGATATTAGTTCTTGAAGAATGCTGATAACTGCTAGAATTTTAAAGAAATAATACAAAATGCAAAAATGTGAAATATATAACAACGATTTTTTAAAAGCTCAAAAACCCATAGTACGCTAAGTGATATAATTTTAATTTTAGACAAAAGCAGCCTTTATCTGACAAAACTCTTGATGACACAATGTTGGTAAAATTCATAATTTACCTCATATGTTTTTTACAAGGGAATTTCAATTTGCTTGAACCAAAAGCATTAAGAAATCAGTTTCCTCCTTAGAAAAATCAATCTTTCTTTGAATGAAACCAACAACATTCTCTACCTTGAAACTACTAACAACCCTGTCAATAATCTGTAAAACATTTTCTGAAGAAAAAAATTTAGAATCCCAAATTAACAACAGTCAAGTAGTAATAACCTAAGACGATAAAAAGGAGGGTGAAAAACGGCTAAAACTAAAGAAAGACATTGTCTCACTGAAGAGCACTTAAGGACTTAATCAAGAGACAAATAACTTTAGGAGATATGATGAATTCATATCTGACTGGCTGAAAACTAATTAGATTTGAAGGGAAAAACTCAAAGACTACCTGATCAATAGTACGAACTGCTTCCTCTGAAGATTCACAGTCTGAGAGTTTAATCAAAGCCTCTGCTTTCAGACGAAGACAAAGATTCTTCTGATGAAGACTGCCACCAATGGACACACCAAGATTATCTATGTGCTTCAGAGCTGACAAATTTAAGGACATCTGAATAAGTAACCATATCATTTCACTTTGTTTGCTTTTTTAAAATGATGCATAATATTGCAAATATAGTAAGCATAAATTTCTAAAACAATACACATGAAGAATAACTCAAAGGTAAATATAATTCTCCCTCAAACTTTTTGTAGAAAGATTTGAATTTAAAACAGTACACATTAATTTAAAACCTTTATCTTCATATGACATATACTAAAACTTAAGATCCGGAGATGTAATAGCGATCTATACAACAAGATCCTAAAACACAACAATGGCTATCTTTGGCTAATGAAAACCTTAGCCAAAAGCATCTGTAACACAGATAGTAAACTAAGGATATAGGAAGGGGAAATTTGGAAGAAAATGAATTAGAACTGACCTAGGTGAGCTGTTTTTTAATGACAGAAGCTAGACTACTAACTGGGTCAGGAACAGAGAATCAATCACCTTTTATGATTTCCTAGCCCCACACCCTACCATATCACACTTATATAGGCTCCAACATACCTAAGACTTCCCTTTTCTGAGTCAGAGAAAATAAGAATTCATGAAGGTTCTGTACACACCAGAAACTTCCTGTTACAAAAGGAGAGCACACCCACTCAAGACTAAATACTATGTCAAAATTCCAAATGTGGGAAACCTTTGATAAGCATTCATTGCTGGTTTAAACATAAATATACTATTAGATATACATGCAGATATGACATTTACTTAACCTTAGTGTAATTTAAATTAGAAACTTAAAAGTAAAAGCATCCAGATCCAGGTCTTTTTGAACTACTACCTTTCTCCTTTAAGTTGAAAACAGTATTGGCCATCCTTATATGTAAACCAAAAAGAACTCAATACCTTGGTTGCATGAAAGAACAGCTTCCTTAGATTTATGCATTTTGACTTGGGCTTCTGCCAGATGATACCATCCAGCTGTACAGCAAGGACTTTCCTTTAACCCTAAAAGGATAAAAACAATCAGGAAAAAAAAAAAGGATTCACTTGAGTACTGAAGTGAATGGCACCACTATCTATTCTCTAAATGAGACTCCACCCCTCTTCCTCATCTCTCTCATCTAACCAATCATAAACCAAACTGATTCCATGCCCCAATTCGTATTTTCCATATACTTTTCTCTACTTCTTCCACTAACATTTCCATTGAAATCTCCATGTTTATCTCAGGTCACTGCAAGTGCCTCTCATCCACTCTAATGCATCCTCTACACTGTAGTCACAATAATACTAAAAAAAAAAACCCAACTCAGATTATGGAATTACCCTCCTTAAATCTTTTCACTGATTCCTGACTGCCCTCAGGATAATGTGCAAACTTTTTAACACGGTTTACAAAGCCCTTTTCCAATCTCACTTTCTGCCCCTTCCTGCACCTGTACATCAGTCTCAAGTCTCGATGAACTACCTTGAACAAGTTTTCTTCTTTCCTCAGGCTATTTAACAGACTCATCTCGTGGCTAAAATATGCCTCCCAACTCTTTCATCTACTTGCCTGGCTTGTATTTGTCAGTCAGATCTCAGCCTAAATATAGATTTATCCAGAAACAACATACTTGAGAAGACTAAGTTAAACCCTTTCCAAGACTTCCTAAAACTATACCCATTTTATCCCTACTTCCTAAAACTTTCCCATGGTCTTGATTGACATTAGTGAGTAGATGAGTTGGGATTCAAACTCAAGCAGATTCCAGGGTATGTAAATACTTCCCCCTCCCCTTCTATCTTTGCTATTTCCTTACAGAAAGGCTCCAAGATTAATGCCTACAAACTGAATAGCTATTACACCTCAGGTACATTTACCTTCTGTTAGTTTGCGAACAGAATCTTCATACTTTTTCTCTTGTAATGCTTTAATGCCTAGGCCAATGAGGCCTGGTCCACTTTTTGAATTCATTTCCACTAGTTTACAACAGTACTGCTGTCCCTCATCAGTAAGATTTTCTGGAATTAAGAGAGAAAGTTATTAGTTACACATATATAAGTAATACATATACATATTTGTGTGTATGTGTGCATATTTCCAAGTTTCTAAGTGTCAAAACTTATATGCTTAAATTTCAAAAGTTGCCTTATACATCCTTTACCATAATCTGATTCTAGTAATAAAAATTTAAATAAACTAGCAAATACAGAAAGTATTAACATTTTCATAAAGAAAACTATGCTCCTTCATCTTCTTAAATATTAGAAGTAGAAACCACAGACACTGAACCTGAAGTCATACTCAAGGGTTTCAAATAAGAAACATATTTGCAGTAGACTGAGCTGCACAGCTTATGGCTTTCCTGGTCTCTCTTTCTGATTCATCAGTAACAATGTCAGTTGTTATAGCCTTCTGTCAAAGGAAGGTATCTTCATCAACCTCTGCCTATAGGCAACAAGGCATTGCAAGAGACATGGCAGTCAGATTCAGTGAACTTTTCCAGCATCCCACGATCAGAAGATCATGGGCTACTCATCAGAACAGTGAACACTTAGTCACAGACTTCTTAAGTTTACAAGCTCAACAGCACATCTGCATATTTTCCTGAAGTTATCTTTTTCTATATAATAACAAATTGTATAAAAATCATCCAATCCCTACATTTTTTTTATTTTGGTAAAATAATTTAGTTCCAAAAATATTATATAAAGCTGAGTATGGTGATACACATCTATAACCCCAGCACTTGAAAGCCTGAGGCTAGAGATTGTGAGTTTGAGGATAGCCTAGATTCTCAAAAGAAAACACTACATATTTTGTTATATTTCCATTTCTTCATCCTCTATCTATATAAAACATGTCCCAAACCAATTTGGAATCACTGTTTCAATCATAGATGTCAAAGGTAAATTCTTTACATAATATCAGTTAGCTCATATATTTAAAATTTTTCAAAATCAGATATACACCAATACACAATCCACAGATAATATGTTATATACTGATTTAGAAATCCAAATGAGCACCAAAAATAAAGAATTCATAATGGCTAAAGATTTAAAACTTTAGTCTACTTGGCCAAGTATCAAACCAAACTGGAAGAAATACTACTTTGATTAGTAAGTCAATTCAAAAAGGATGCAAGCCTGATACTACTATGCTTCCAGACATGTATTTCCTTCTGTCATATGTTCTAAGTATTGCTTTCATAAATATGAATTCCAAGAATAGATATGCCTAATTCCATATCTTCTACATCTTCCTAGGCAAAAAGTGGCTTTTTCCCTTTCTCTCCAGTAGTATTATTCAATCACTATCTATCTACCCTAGGCATCAGAATCACCTGGGAACTTGTTAAAATATAGTATATTGGGTCCCATTACTAATTTCTGATTCAGTAGGTCTGGTGTAAGACATGAGAATTGTCTTTTTAACAAGTTCTCTGGTCTAGAGACCATATGTTAAGAAACACAGGTCTACAGTCATTTACTAATACCATATACCACCTTTATTGTTAGTCTGACAAATATATTCTGATTTGTTGCCTCTGTAAATAAAAGGAAAAATTCTGGAGAGTAGAAGCTAACATGTTATCTCATCTGTGGCAGGAATTCATTAAATATTATGATGATCCTTTAAAAATGCCATCCTGAGCCAGGTGCCAGTGGCTCATGCCTATAAACCTAGCTATTTGAGAGGATCAGAATGGAAGGGTTGAGGCTCAAGGCCAGCAAGGGCAAATAGCTAGTGAGACCCCATCTCCAAAATATCCAGAGCAAAACAAACTGGAGGTGTGGCTCAAGCGGCAGAGCACCTGCTTTGCAAGCACAAACACCTAAGTTGAAACTCCAGTCCCACCAAAAAAAAAAAAAAAGCCAACTCCAAAGGTAATTAAAGGGTGTTGTGAAGGTTAGATATAAACCAGTATCTATGGAATTATATTTCCTAAAGTGTACTATGAAAAAGAAAGGTGGATTTTTTTTTAAACAACTAATTCATTTCTGACATACCAAAGAGACTGATCAACACTATAGAAATTTTCATTTAAATAGCTTGGGGATGTACAATTTGATAGCATTTGTTTCCTTACTCTCACCTGGATTTTTCATATTCCTAGGATAGAAATCTTTTTTTTTCCCTCAGCGCCAGGAATGGAACCCAGAGCCTCACACATGCTAGGCAAGTGCTCTACCACTGAGCTACATCCCCAGTTCCTATACCACAAATCTTAAAAGAAGTTCTTTTTGGCTTAAATTTGAAGAACCAAGTTTTCTTATCCTTCCCCATTTCAGCAACAAAGCAAAATAATAATAATGAAAAAAAGGTCACTTTGCATGAAAAAACATTTGAACAAATGACAACTGTGAAAGTTATTCACCATTTGTTATAAGAAGCATTACAAACTGAGTCATTTTGAAAATGAATCAATACTTAACATGCAAAGCAAGATAAAGAAGAATGAAATGTTTGTCATCAGTGGAAGAAAACCCAGTGATTAACTGCGTAGTAAACTGAAGTACTCTGGAGGAAGAAAAGACAGCTTTTAGAGACCTTCAAGATTTGCAGTTCTTAATTTTCAGAATACAGAAAGTTTGGTTTAGAGACACAATGAAAAGAAATTACCAAGCACAGCTTCCTATTATCCTGCATTAACTATTAAAAGTTTCACCTCCACATTTCCTTGAATATATTTACATCTCAAGTGCTCAACTCCATGAATTCTTTTTTGTTTTTATTTATTTACTTTTTATTCTCATACATTAATAATCCAAGGAGAATTCATTGTGATAATTCTATACATACATACAACGTATCTTGAACAAGCTGGGAAAGAACTCTTCCTTAGTTCTATGACAGGTGTAAATATTCACCTATGTACTCCTCTTTGCCATGATAAAGACCTCCCTTTCTTTCAACTCTGAAAAATATCCATCTCCTAAATGATTATTTTCACTTAAACCAATACCCTTTCTCATCAATCAATATAATCCCTTCACTATCTTTATTAAAGTGCTTTCTCAACTACTGAATTTATGGCAAAACTTGGTAGACTATTTGTTGGTTCTATTTCTTCTATTGTTTTCTAGGCTTTTTGGAAAACAGGACCCTATTTACTTAAGAAATCCATACTATCTACATATTTATGTTTATTAAGAAGACACATTCAGTCTTCAAGAAGAAATTTCAAAGTGTTCACTTGAACCATGTAGTATGTGAAAAAGCCAAGAAAAAGGGCATTATACGAAGCACTGATAGCTGAACAGCATAGGAGACAGGGTGACTACCAGCCATTAATTTCAGTGGCAACTGTAACAGCAGAAAAAAAGAGGTGGAAGGATGGGTATCAGAGGGCACATAATATAGAAAATCAGTCCACTTATCTTTAGAACACACTAAGTCTTATGATAAAATGTGAAGAAACTGGGTGACTTTTGAAATTAAGCTTCCTATCAGAGGAAAAAAATGCACAAAACCCATACACATGCTCCTTTTGCTGATAGTCTCTTAGTGTACCTCATCTTCCTCAGCCTCAATAAAGCATTTATAATGTTCAGTAGTCTTTCTTTTTGAAATGCTATGGTCAGGCAATATCACTGCAATTCTATTCCTACTCCCCTAAAAGCTTTCAATCTCCTTTGCATGCTTCAAGTCCTCCTCCTCTCCCTTAAATGCAGTCAGTCAAGTTCCTGGGTTACTTTTCTGCTTACACCTGCTCACCACTTCTTCCTATTCTTTCTCAATCATTATAATCTAAGTTCTAATTCAATTACATTGGTTTTTTAAAAAACACTCAGTAATTAGGTTTCTTAATCATAAAATTTGTTACTCAGGCTGTCATGACAGACAATAATCATCTCCTTCCTGGATGCTTTCATCTCACATGATGCTTCCCATAGGATTCCCCCCTCCCCTTCCTCTCTGTCCTCTCCCCTTCTCTTTCCTCACTCTTTCCTCTCTTCCTGTTCTCCCTTTCCCTTCTGGCCAGCCAGCATTGCCCACAGTGTAGTTCTCAGTCTTTTGCACTGCTCCTCTCTGATGTCATCTACTCCATTTTCACGCAAATGATTTCCAAGCTACATGTGTAGCTTTAGTATCGATCTCATCTGCAAATAACCTCTAGGTTTCAACTGCCCATTCATTAAGAGCTCCTCTCAACAACTTATTTTTCACAAACTATTATTCCATACTGGACCATTTTCTCAGGAGAAGTGAAAGTTATAATTGATTTTTCCCTTCCTTTACTCTGTTCAGTCACTCTTTTATCACTTAATCTACTCACTCTAGTCTATCACAATCTATCCTACACAGCAAGTTAGTTTAGCCCTTCATAAACTAACTCACTAATATTTTCTATGTTCTGTCATGGTAGTAAAAGGTATTCTTGCAAGTCTCTCTGACTTAAAGTAAGAAAAGGAAAACCTATTTACTTCTTACTGAAAAATTCAGGACTGAAAGTAACAGCATTTGTTTTCATAGACACCAGGAAAAAGTACAAATAGGACTTATAAAGGATATGAGTTAAAGTGGGGAGAATGAGATAGGTGCAATGGTCATTTCCTATCAGGAATTCCCCAAGTTATCTTTCATAGTTTTCAACCATTTTTCTACCATGACACTTGTAAAAGTCATTCATACATGAAGCATTCTCATGCATATACTCTTTTAACAACAAAGCAAAAAGAACTAAATAGATTATTAAAGTTCTGAAATAATTCAGTCGTAACCATATTGGCATAGATACAGCCATTTCTAATTCAGTGGCTGACTTTTGCGAATGTGAACTCGTTCACCTCAGGTGAATAAAAGCATGAACAGTACTGATATTCAAACTACTTTAAAACAATCTTTTCAACATAGACACTGACAAAAAGGTCAGAGGTTGGTGTGAGAAATCAAGATGCCAATCTCTTGGAATCTGCCCAAATACCAGCATGAGACAGAAAACCTCCAACCTACAGATGTGCCAACTCCCAACAATCTCGCTGTTATCAATTTTCTCTCTTCCCCCAAAAAAAGTGCAAAAGATGCAACAGCATTAAGTATACACTAAGACACACTCTTCACCTTGAATCTGCTCTGTGTCATTAAAAAGTAGATCATTCACAAATTTTACTACTTTATAATAATGTAGTAGTCATAAAATTGTTCTTGTGACATTATGGTATAACATCAACACTTAGAAGGCTAATCTTTTCCCAAATCCTTTTCATGACATTCACATCCCTCAGTAGTACAGTCCAACCTATTCAGCCAAAGTACAGTTTAGTTATTCCTTCCACTATAGCAAACAAACCTATTTTATTAATCCTAAAAAAAATACACCTAGCTCCATAGCTCTGTTCATGCCATCTGGAGTAGTTTTCAACCCCGTCTACTTATCTAATATTTATGGAAATTTCAAGACACCCTTCAATTGTCACCATCAAAAAGACTTCACTGATGAACAAATATCTCTGTAACCCTAATTCTTCTATGTCATTGTACTTTCCTATCATTAGCCTCTTTGTATATATAAAGACATACATATTGTACTTATACAATATACAAATACATATTGTATTTTGTTTATGTCCAGAAACACTGAAACAGTATCATACACACGGCAAGCACTAAAACATTTGTTGACTGCTAACAACATCACTTCCACATAATTCTAACATCTCTGGGTCACATAATACAATAAGGAAGAAATTACCTGATTCAATTAAGTGCAAGCAAAGCACTTCTAATGGATATTGTATGGAGGGATAGATGTTTATCATTCCTTCACAGGCCTTCTTCAATCTAGCAGTCTCTTGAGGAAACTTGAAAATATAAAAGCAAAATAAACTAAATTCCAATAGTAGTAAAATATATTTGTAAACACTTTCCTATTGGAAATACATAAAAGTCCAAATTACAGATTTTAAAAACATACTTACTTTGGATAAACACTGAATGAAATGCCTATAGAGTACTTGGTGATCTTCACTAGGAATCGTATCTGATAAGGCCAGTGCATTCTCAAATGCAGTAAAAAGCTGAAACAAACAAACAAAAAACTATGTAGCACACTTAAATGGTAACAATTATGAACAGCTGAATGTATAAGATTCCTTTGTACAAAATACACCTTTAACTAGCTGAAAACATATTTTATTATGTGGCCTTAAGAGTATCAATGATGAAAGAATATATACAGTAGACCTTGGTATTTGCAGATACATGGTTCTAAGGAGACCTCTGTTGAGGAAAAGCCATGAATGCTCAGGATGGAGAGTTCAGTATGTACTGTACTGTGGATGCTTTATTCATTTTTCCCAACATACCATCCAACTTCCGCTAAAGTCATGCTATCATTCAACAAAAATAAAATTTTCACTTTACCACTTAAAAAATTAAGCATGTTATGTGCCTTTTTTGGGTTCCGAGGATTATCATAACTTTTACCTCACTTTTTGGAGACCATTTGTTTTTCCACAAAATTAAGGGCAAGAAAACACCCAGGAGATCATACAATTTAAACACACAACAATAACAGGGGAACATGAGAGCTTCTCCACATCAACTAAGCTGTGTAATGGGCACATGGGAATTTACATTTTTATTTTTGAAATTTCTTTTTAATTTTTATCATGCTTGATCAAAACTGCATGTAATAAATCTATGAGTAAGGTGGGCTTACTGTACATAACTTTTACAATGTAGTCTATCTCCAACTGGGCATAGACTTCACTGAGCTAACAAGTGATAACTATACATGAACAAAATTGGTTTGTTAAAACATTCTTCCACTTTCTATTCTTCACTGTTTGCTACAAAGTAATCAAGCAGAGCATAATCTTTTTTCCTTTTTTCTTTTTCTCTTTTTGCAATGCTGGGGACTGAACAAAGGCCTTGTGCGTACGAGACAAGCACTCTACCACCGAGCTATACCCCATCTACTGCTCAGAACATTTTAAATCATCTCCTTTGAAATCACTAGCACATTCTTTGGGACATATCCAATAGTAGTAAATCTTCTACCTTTAGAAAATTTTATGAAGCTGAGTTATATTTTTGGTTAAAATAAAAAAAAAGATGGCTGAACTCAAATGAAATCACTTCTCTTAAACAGTATTAACTGACTTTGAAGCAAATTTCAAAGAGACTATTTTCTTTCTTTCTTTCTTTATCTGGTGGTATTAAGGCTTGAACTCAGGGTCTCAGGTTTGCTAGTCATGTTTTTTAATTTAAAATAGTACTGACAATATTATTGGATTATTGGATATTTTAATTTTTAGTATTGTGAGTCTTTGGTTGTTTTGACTAAAAGAAAAAACTTTTTTTTTCCTGGCCCAGATGTTGACAAACAGAAGTGGTGTGATGTGTCTAGGAAACTTGTGTATCTATATTACCAAGAAAAGAAGCACCTAGAGGTTGGTTAATGACTTTTGAGGGACCTAAATGTCTTTTAATAAAACTATTATTAACAAAAAGCTATCTTTTAGCATAGATGAAAATTAAAAATTAGTATGTAGAGTGCTATCAAAAGAATTTAAGAGATAAATTACAATGCTTTGAAACTGGAAACTAAAACTCAAATTTAAAGTATGGCAACTGCTAACCCTTTTTAAAATTGGTCAAGGTATGAATTAAATAAGTGGAACTTCAGTGACCCATTTGTGGTGTCTCCACAGACATTCCGAATTATGGAGGAATATAATATAAACAAATTTTACTTGTTTAGATACGTGTTTGAAATTCTGGTATGCCATATTATTTTAATAATTAATAATATTATTATATTATAATAATGAAGCTAGATTACAAAGATATGATTTAAGAGAAGCTGATAAGCTACCTAGTTTTGTCACTACTCAGTTTCTTCTACAACTGTTTCCATGCACAGATAAGCCACAATTACTGCATCACGTTTTCAATCTTAAGTGTACCCCAAAAGCCATGTATTGAGGGTTTGGTCACCAGCCTGACACTATTGGGAGATAGTGAAACTTTAGGAGGTGAGGCCTAGTGGAAGTTAGGTCATGGGAGGCATGTCTTTGAGAGGGATACTGGGACCTGGCTCCTTCCTCTTGCTTTCTTTGCTTTTCAGATTCCATGAAGCGAGAAGCTTCGCTCTTCTACGCACTTCTCACTATGATGTCTGCCTTGCCACAGGGCCAAAGCAACAGAACCAGCTGATTATGGACTGAAATCTCTGAAACTATGAACCAAAATAAACCTTTCTTCCTTTAAAGTTGATTTACTCAGGTGTTTTGTGCCAGTGACAGAAATTTAACATGTTACACACAATGCAAAAAGATTTCATTCCTACATTTTTATCCTCAACTCTTAGGATACTGCCTGACATACAGTATATTCTCAATGATTTTCTGAATAAAAGAACAGCAAATGAGTAAATGAATAAACAAACGAACAAAAAATTAACAACCCATCCTATATAAAGCCAAGTATACATTGAGTAGCTACTTACAATAATAAGAAATTAAAGTGACTTTTAAACTTATAAATAAAAAAGTATGATAGAGATATTTTCCTATTAGGCTTCAAAGCCAATGTTTTTACAGTCTTTTAAAAGTTCTTTTCAATTACTTGAAAATCTGTACATTGAAAAGGAATATTACCTAGGTATAAATACTCAAAATATAAAATACTAAAAATTCTAAAAATACTTAATATTCTAGTTGAATTGTTAAGCCTCAAACTCAGTATTCTTAGTTCATAAGTATAAAGAAAAATACCTTTAATACAACTTGTTCGAAGTTATAGCAATTTTGTGAAAGCCAAATTTTACTAAAATAGTTTCTTTTTTAGGGTGATTAAGTTACCAAACTCATGCGGATTCTTATGAACATAAGGGAATAGAATTCTAATACCATGAGAAACAATTCTGCTCCCCTCAGACTTTGTATGAGACTACAGGCCAATTAATTCTAATTTCATCAAGAAGAATCTCTATAAGTATAAAATTGTACACTTAGAAAACTAACATACATATAGTATTTTCCTTCATTATTTTATCATATTTCCATTTTCTAAATTCCATCTTCATGATACAAACTATGAGGAATAAATGAGTCAATACCAATTGCTGGGTTTCATTATTTTGATCCTCCATACTCTCTGCCAGCAACTGAGTCAATTTTCTCCATAGCTGATGAAGCTCTTGGTTGTCTGCACCTTCTTCCTGCCGTATCTTTATCAATTTGTGCCATGTTCGAGCCACCTATGGAAAGGAGATTAAAAACGGTTACTTTTATCTTAAATATTTTTTTAAAATGCCAATGCCAACAAAAATGTGAAAATAAAAATATTTTTATCCACTAATACATAAAAATAGCATGAGTATAGAATCCCATCTATTATAAAGCCCATAAAAAATAAGTTGACTGGGCAAATTCACAGAGTTCTTCTATCAGAAATATGACTGAAATACCCGAGTAGACACCGTCATGATGGCTGCATTCTCCAATATCCATAATTTAGAATGTCTATAGAGAAACCACAAATGGGTTGCTGAAGCTCACAGATGACACTTATTTAATTCATACCTTACCCAATTTCAAAAATGTTCCGAAGTTATGAAACCTTAAATCTGAGTTCTAATTTATGGTTTTTCAAAGCGCTGTAATTTATCTCTTAACTTCTTTTGAAAGTACTCTACATACTAACTTTTTATTTTAATTTAAGCTAAATGATAGCTTTCTTTTAATAACAGTTTTACTAAAAGACTCTAAGACCTAGAAAATCATTTACCAACCTCTAGGTGTTTCTTTTCTTGATAATACAGATCCACAAGTTTTTTGCACACATCACACCACTTCTGTTTGTCAACACTTAGGTCAGAAAAAGAAAAGAAAGGATTTTTTTAGTTCAATAGTCAAAAGAACCAAAGACTTACAATTTTTAAAATTAAAATATCCAATAATATTATCAGTAGCATTTTTAATTAGGAAACATGCCTAGCAAACCTGAGACCCTGAGCTCAAGCCCCAGTACCGCCAACTAAATAAGAAAACATTCTCTTTCATACTGCGGTAAAATTTTATAAAATGAATCATTTGAAGAAAAAACTTAAGAAATATGATCTTTCATTATACTGACTAAAAGATAGTAACAAGATTACAAAATTAGTCAATCCTGCTAATAACGTTTCAATTCCATTTCAATCACAAGAGACTCTGTCACAAAGAAACAAAAATGTTTCCCAATTACCAGTACATGTTTGGAGTACTTCCACATCTTATAATTTTTAATCAGTCTATTTTAATTCAACCATGTAAAGAAACTAGGCTTTCCCCATATATTCATTACCTTTCATAAAGATCCAGGAGCTTTTGGTAAACACCAGGCAAGTCATCCTTAGCATTTATGTGATTGCACTTCTCATACAAACTTGCTAATCCCTAAAAGAGGAAGTAGTAATGATTATTCTTATCAAAACCTCTGATATCCCCACATTTAGTTATTTTGGTGAATAGTGTGATAATCTGTTAAGATGTAAAATAAAAGATTATCATAGTTTACAGGTGAAATAAATGGTATTTTCCTCCGAGGAAACTGGAGATAGGAGTATATAAAAGCACAAATGAAAAAATATGAGTGGCTTTTTGTGGAATCTGAATGATTGGAACAAAGGAGTTTATAATACTACTCTCATCACTTCCCAAACTGCATTTGAAATGTTTCACAATAGCCTGAACACTACTTTTAAATTTTTTTCATCACGGTTTTTTTTACTTTTAATACTTTTACTGTACAGGAGGGTTTTATTGTGACATTTCCATATATGCATACAATGTGCCCCAGTTTGGTTCATCCCCTCCATTTTCCTCTCTTCCCACTGTCCCTTCTTAAAATGACTTCAACAGGTTCCAATGCTCAATATTTTTTACACATATTCATGCAGGTGTAAAAAAGGCAACAGTACTGAGATATCACTGATACAAAAATTAAATATACAACTTGATATTTGATATATGTATACATTGTGAAAGAAGCACTCCACTCAAGCTAATTAATGTATCCATTACCTCTACATAGTTGCCATTTTGTGGGCGTTTATGTATGTATGGTGAGAAGATTTATTTTGTATGATACTACTTTTATGATACGGTCAAAAAACCTCCCCAGTGCTGGAGGCTCACACCAGTAATCCTAGCTATTCAGGAGGCAGAGATCAGGAGGATCTCAGTTTGAAGCCAGCCTGGGCAAATAGTTCACAAGACCCTATCTCAAAAATACCCATCACAAAAAAGGACTGGTGGAGTGACTCAAGGTGTAGGCCGAGTTCAAACCCCAGTACTGCAAAAAAAAATCAAAACCAAAACCAAAAAACTCCAAGTAGTCTGTGGAAATTATTGTTGCTTCAAAGAGAAATCAGATATCCTCAAGCAATCAGCACATTATAAAAGCAGCATTTCGGAGTGTGCACCAGATCATTCATTCAAGTTTTTATTCATGTGAACCTGAAACAAACAGGTTCATACTCACAGGAGGCTACTATTCTTATTAATTTCTGTTTTAAAGATGTGACTGATATATGGAACAAATTAGTTAAATATGAAAAAGTAAGAGAATTCATCTAAAAAACATTAAGACGAATAAACAAGAAAAAAACTTAACTTGTGGGCTGGAAACATGGCTCAAGTAGTAGTATTCTGACCTAGCAAGCATAAAGCCCTGAATTCAAACCTCAGCATCATGTGAAAAAAAAAAAAAAATTAACTTGTGCTCAGACAGAACTGAAAATTTTACATTATTTTATTTTTTTAGAAAACACACATTTCTTTTTCACCAGATAAGCACAAAGAATATCTGGATAAATCTTTGTATGCACATGCAATTAAGATTTATATACTTATGTTTTGATTTAAGTCTCACATTTAGAAATAATCTACTGGGTGGGATGTTAGAAAGTAATAATAGCTCTCTTTTAAAACTAAGTTAGCTTTAGAAGACCAATAAATTTAATATTTTATCCTATAGGGGCAAATGAAGACTTGAACACTTATTTTAATACTGTACTGTTTACTTATATTTAAAAAAATTTTCAGTCCCATATTATGGGGAAAATGTCCACATACCTGCCACGCTAGTAACTGGTCGGGCTCTAGTTCAACGGCTTTCTTATATGCCCCCTGGGCCTGGTCAGGTTGTTCTAGCTCAGCTGCAGCAACACCAATAAAAACCCAGGCATTATAGTTATTTTTCTCTTGTTTTAGCACTGTCTGATTAAAAAAATTAAAAGCAAGTCATTAAATTTTGGAAACTACCAAACAAACAACAAAACACAACAGTATGTTATGAGTCAGGAAACTGATCTCCCACTAACAGGGTGATCTCGGCAATGCTACTTAACCTCTCTGGTTTCAGTTTTCTCAGGGAGACAGAAATGGACTGCCAGTGATTAGAAAGGGTTTGGAATATGAGGTGTATTTTTGTGAAGCTGTCCATGTGATTCTAATGCCTCCAACAAATGACCCTCCTGCTCCCTACTAGTCAACTCACAAAACCGTTCCCCATCTCACTTTATGTCACTCAATTCTAATATTTTTTCCTTTACCATGATAGTGTTTTCCCTTATCAAACAGATGGGATCTTTTATTGAAACTACAGTCTAGAGGAAAGTAAATTCACTCTAATATGACTATACCAAATATGTTCCAAATAAATAGCAGTGGTGAATAACACCTGCCATCTGGGATTTAAAAAAATACATCTATGTGTAGGACTTTCAGAAATAACAGCTACTTGCTAAGGTAAAATAAAATAGCTTGAAGAGGAGAGTGTTTATGTTCTAGGGAAAAAAAAACAAACTACCTAAACTGAAGTTACTTTCAAGGTTTTACATATTCTGGAGAAAATAAGACCATTTCCATGAATTGAGCCAGTTGAATTATTTGGCTTATGTGCATCCATATAACACTTCTAGCAATCTGTCACCAATGTACTGCACAAACTCCATTCTCTCCAAAAGTGCTGCATCCTAAAAAACCACATCAATGAGGTAACTACTAAAATTAAGCTCTAAAAACTGAGGCCTTGTTAATGCTATGTTCTGAACACTAAGAACGACTGGCACGTAATTGCTGAATGAATGAAAATGCCACAGTTAACCACCCATCAGTAATTACTACCTGATGATCAGGTTTTCCAAATCTGAAATAACTGCAAGGTAGTGAAAACATGTATGAGATTCTGAGAAAACATAGGAAAAAAAGTATCCTACTCTACCTGTACAAACTGGAGAAGGCTTATACCATGTTATAAAACCTCACAGGCAGACAAGGAAATGATCAGACAAAACCACAGCAAATACACTGAGACAACATTTTTTACTAAAAAATTCATGGTGTTGAAGTGCCACCCAGCATGGTGGTGTATGCCTATAATCCCAGCAATGTAGAGGTTGAGGAAGAGCATTATGAGTTTGGGGCCAGCTGGGACTACATAGTGGGTTCCAGGATAGCCACATAGCAATACTCTGTCTCAAAAAAACAACACAGAATCATTTTTTCTCAATCAACATTCTGAGATACTACAGATAGGTAAGCAGATGTCTGACAATTATTTGTTCTCTGTTTGTGTTTTACAGTTGGGTCTCCCAAGTATAAATTATGAACTACTTGAATCTTGCAGAAAACCTACAGAAAACAGTTTCTGCCTGGTAGCGAGGGGGGAGAGGGGGAGAGGGGGAGAGGGAGAGGGTGGGGTAGGTAAGAGAGGGGGTGGGGGAAGGGGGGAGAAATGACCCAAACATTGTATGCACATATGAATAAAAGAAAAAAAAAAAAGGAGACTGCTTCAGTACTGCTATATAATACAACAGATTTGCATGTGCAATATTAGTTAGATAAACCGAATGCTGAAGA